GCCTTGTCTACCCACGACTTATAATATTAATATAGTTTATATATTAATATAAATTATATTAATATTATTTTATTTTATAGTAATAGATATTTTACAATATAATATATAATATATTATTTTATATTTAATATAAAAATAATATTTAATATATTATATTTTAATAATATTTAAGTAGTATTTAAATAAATATAACTATATACTCCACCAGGATGTCAAACACATGTAGTACCTATAACTTATTTAACATTCCCGTAGTCTATCAAACACATATATCTTGAACTTCTTTATAAGATAGTTTTTCTTCTAGCAAAGAAGAACTTTCACTTTCTAGAGAATGTTTACCTTCTTGTTATTAAATAGGCACGGAGACTGTTTACATTTGATACAAAGATGCCACAAATACCCCTAGCCATCCAATTTTAAATTAGATATTAAATTAGACAGCATAATATGTGTCACAAAGTTCGATAAAACTTTTTTTTAACTTTGAACCTATTTAATGACATATTCACAATCATTCGATTTGAAATTTGATAGACATAAATGATTATGACTTCCTTGTATAAAAAAATAAACAGTCTTATTTCTATATTTTCCTTTTTAGATGGTGAGATCTATGTGTTTGAAAGCTCAAATTTTAACTTTTTCCAGAGAATCATTAGTTAATTATTCTTTAAGTGATTTTAAAATGTCAGATTGAAAAAATCCTCCCAAATAAATCTGTTGAATGTGGGAGTATAAATAAACCATATTCATGTAGAGTATATTATATAGGAAAAAGTTTAAATAAGGTTGCAACCTTAAAATGCAGAATTAAAGTTGCACCTAAAACATCCATCATAAAAGGTTGTTTTGGATGTTGGAAAACCCTCTAATTGATAATCTCGACAATGAGATATATGAATATGAAAAAAAAAAAAGATTTGGAGTCCGCAAAATAGTGTATCTTGCAGCACTTTATCTAGACTGTAAATTTTCAAGATTTTTATGTGTTTATAGATCTACCTGATTGGAACCATTTTTAAAATTTAAAATTTTATAATTAGAGATGACAATATATTTTCAAGCTATCTTAAGATTTTTTTATATCAAAATTATATTTATGATAAAATTTAGAGATAAACCTTAATTGGGTTGTTTAAGTTTGCAGCCTTATGCAAACCGCAACCCCATTATATATATGCTCTAGAAAATAGCTAAAATGTTCAAAGTTGATAAATTACAAGGTTTTGATAAATTGCAAAAGAGAAAGAAACCAAAGGTTCTAGGGGAGCAATGGGCCTTTTGGTACAATTTCTCAAGAGGATAAAAACAAAGTTCTGACCTTGGTCCGTACACTTTCAAATCTAAGGACAATACCGATATTTCCTTCTAATCGAAGGGTACAAAGATGGACTATTGGTTGTTTTCAGGGTAAAAATCTAGCCGGCCTTGGGCCCACTGGGCCAGGGGTAAATTTTTTTTCAAAAAACTTGAGGTGCGTTGTCGAAATATAATGAGATACTGAGGGTAAACCAGAACAGAACCTCAGTAAAGAAAGGAAGAAGGTCTTCAGGTATAAAGGCGAAGACCGATATAATATCACGAGACTTATAAAAAATAAAAATCTTTTTGCGCCATTTTTACTCTGAAACTGCTTCTTCTCGTGATGCATTTGACTGTTTTCTCTCTCTTCATTTACTCTTCATTTTCTCTCTCCATTTTTCCCTAAGCCTTTCTCTCTCTATAACTTTCTCTGTTTCTTCCCTGTGCATTGATCTGGAACTGGAATCGGAGGCCATGGACGGTCTTTCAGGTTGGTGTGTTTTTTTCTCCCTCCCCTTGCTTTGGAGTTTGAGTATTCATGGAGTGGATTGAAAATGTGTTGCGGGTTTTGATTGATTTTTGCTTTCATCGATCAAGTATTACATGAGATAGAGAGAGAGAGAGAGAGTTTTGCCTTTCTGTTTACTGGAATTCAAAATTACTTTGTGGATGGATTAATCAATGATTCTTCTTTAGCTCACCCTTTTATTTTCTGTTTAATTTCTATTGAAATGATACAGGTATCACTCAGATTAGAGAATCTAACTGGAAAAGAAAAGGAAAAGAAAGGTGAAAGCAAATAAATAAGTTAGGGGAGCCTTGTTACTCTGAGATTTCAGGAAAAGCTTGGTTGATTACAAGACCTCACCCCATTTATATTCTGGGTATTCAAGGGATTCAGAAGTCGTAATTATTTGGGGCCTTTGATTTTGATGGATTCGGTGATTGGGTTAACCTGATAATCTTGGGATGGTGCTTTGTATTTATAGCTGAGGACTTCTGGTGCACATTCCAATATGTTGTATCTTTCTTATAATTGAGTGAATTTTCAAGCCCCATTAGCTTATTGAGTTTTTTTCTTTCTTTTGAGAAATTAGCTTGTTGAGTTATTACACCTTTCCTTTGATGTTTTCTGTGTTTGGAGATTGTGGGCATGAATTGGAGGGTCCATTTTGAAGAAAGAAACTATGGTGTTACATGTACCTGATATGGGAATGGTTAGTTAATTTATTCCTATGAATGTGTGAAGGAGTCCATCTTATGTGCTTTGGTTATACTCTAGTTGAAGAGAGATGGGTAAGCTTGCAGTGAGTGAATTATTCTCTATCTGATAAGATTAAAGATTTTGAGAGATGGGTTTCATTTCTGATACTTCTGAAATTGTAGAATCAAGTAAAGAATCAAATCCCTACATGGGAGCCGATGATAGAGAAAAGAACCATATCATGCCCATAAAAGGAAAGCATTTGATAGAGGCTGATATTAATCGGCTCATTGGGGCAGTCGATATTAGGAGTGTTACTAGACATAGAACGAGCTCACAGTTGCTGCATAAGAACTCAAAGAAACCAATGCGAGTGGGTGTCTCACAAGCATCGGGGATTGGCATTTCGGAACCTGTATCCTTGAAGCAAGCACTGAGGGGTCTGTGCATTTCTCATGCTTCTGAATTGGCCACTTTGAAGAGATTATCAAAACCAAGTGGTTCATCCAATTCTTCAGAGGCAGGAAACATCAAAAGGTTGTATAGGACTGTGGTAGTCCAGGCCACTGATAATGACGAGACCTCAATTTTGGCTCATGAATCCAGTAATGTTGTGGAGAATGGTAGTATAGTGGAAATCTCCCTTGTAGCAGAAGGATACACTGTGAATCCATTGGAAGAGAGAGATGGTTCTTTGCAACTGTCAAGACAGGCTTCATTGAAGCAAAATAATCCATCACCTCGTACTTTATCTCCTTCAATATCAAGGCTAATTAAGGCCAAAGCACCAGTCCACGGTAAGGGGGAACCAGTCTCTTTAGAACCCAGACGTGTGGTATCAGCCCCATCGACCCCAAAGTCAGGGCTAAAGGGAAAGCAAGATTCGTTATCTCCTTCAACTAGCAGCTCTAACAATCGCTCTGTGACCCATCATTCTGATACAGGTTCGAGCGCTCCTAAAAGTACATGTAAGGTCAACAACTTTAACCGTAGGAAAGGAAAGCAACTTTCTCAAGTTTCCACTGCTTCGGTATCTAGCAGCTCTAGTATTGGCACAGAAAGTAAGAGTGTTGCTGAGCCTTGTAAACGTTATTGTAGCCCCAAAAGCTGTAATTCTAAGAGCCCCACATGCCTGAGAGAGAATGAAGTATGCTCTAAAGAGAGAGAAGCCTGCCCAAAAGTGACTGAAACCCAAAAACCAAAAGAGAAGGGGGAGTGTTCCCAGAGCTCCAAGAGTAGCATTGGTGAATATAGCAACACCAGTGGCACAAGCGAGGAAAGCAACACAAGTGGGTCTAGTTGTCATGGCACTAGGCCACATATGTCGAAGGATTCGAGGTGGAAAGCTATACATCTCATTGAAAAGCAACATGGTGGTTTGGGATTGAGGCACTTCAAGTTGCTTAAAAAGTTGGGGTGTGGCGATATAGGGTCAGTTTATCTTGCTGAGCTTAGTGGCACTGAGTGCCTCTATGCCATGAAGGTAATGGACAATGATTTCTTAGCAAGCAGGAAGAAGATGCTTAGAGCTCAGACTGAGCGGGAGATCCTTCAGATGTTGGACCACCCTTTTCTCCCCACTCTCTATGCTCACTTTGTGACTGATAAGCTCAGTTGTTTGATTATGGAGTACTGTCCTGGTGGAGATTTGCATGTGTTGAGGCAGCTACAAACAACCAGGAGCTTCTCAGAACAGTCAGTAAGGTAGGCAGCATAGAATAAAAATTTCCTTTCTTGTGTTCATTATTGGTATTCCTTTGTAGTTTGATATTCAAATTTTTAACCAGTTGGAACACAATTGTTGGTTGGATTACAACAACTGTGAACTTTTCCTTTTTCTTTTAATCTTTAACCTGTTCTATTTTTAGCTTCAATTTGCTCAGTAAATTCCTGTTGGCATGCTTGAATATTAATTAGGCAATCTAAGTTCTTTGTGGATTTTTGTGTTCCATTTTGTGCCAAAGTTCCAGTATGTTACAAGTGTTTATTGCAATATAGTGTCCCTAATCATTTGTGAGTTAGTGTGGCAAATACTAAGCTTCTTCTTTTTGCACTGCTAAAATATGAGCATTAGTTTGGAGTTATTTTATTATTATTCTAAGAATGTGAGCTGCTTGTTTTGTATTGCGGTGAGTTAAGTTCTTTCATCTGAGACTTTTGGAATTAAATTGCCTTGCCGCCAACATACCCATAAAGTATCTTGGTTCAATTTTTGAATTGAAAGAATTCCTCATTCTCAGCATTCATACAGATATGAAAGTGACCTGCTGATTCATGTGGTGAGTGACTATTCAATATTATGACTGTTTCAGTTGAATGTCCTTTAGAATCGCAGATGATTTTTCCTTTCCTAACCCATTCAATCATTTTTTTTCCCAAAAGTAACTTATTATCACTTGCATCTGTAGAGAAGGTAGTCCTTTACTTCGATGTATTGGTATCTTGGCATGCTATGTACAACTTTCAGATGTATCCTTTAATTTCATAAGACAGAACCCCTAGTTTTCTTTTGTGATAGGTACATACCCCTTATCTATCTGAGAATTTTAGGTTTGAAATAAAGAACTCCATATACAACTAGATTGTGCGGCTGGAAACAAAGTATAAAGCGTTGTGGTGCAGACCTAGTAGCTTGGAGCTAGGGTTTATCAAAGAAGAAGATAGAGAAGATCCAAAATTAGAGAACCAAAGACAAAAGAAGGAGTACTAGCTTCTCTAGGGTTTTGAATAAAGTCCATCGCAAGATGCTTCATTATGCTAGAGTACATCCCTTATACAAGAAAACCTTAAACAAAACTTAATCTTGATCGTCCATCTAATCTAATCATGGCCTTTCATTATAAAAGACTTTAAGTGAATAAAAATACATAAAAGACTCTAGAAAGTACTACTTATTCCCCTAAGTGAATAAATGACCCAAGAAATAAATAAAAGACATAAAATGACAGATTCAATGACTATTTTGCCTTTTTGCAGTTCCTCTTATAAACTTTAAGCATGTCTCTCTTTTCTAGATATTCGAGAGCAGTATTCTGGGCTACATCACTTTGTTACTTGGTGTGTTCAGTTATAGTACAAGTTGAGTCCATGACCTTCTAGTCTGAAGTCAAATAGAGTCATTCCCTGCTCCAAGGACCATGGGCACAACTCTCATTAGGTATGATGCACTTGGTGTGGTGTTCGACATGATGCCAGAGTTCTGGATTTCTATCCCACATTTGTCCTACTAGCCGAAATAGTCAAATGTTTTGTTGCTTTATTTTCTTTTTAATGATACTAAAAGTGAACTGCATCCTTAGCATTTGAACAAACAATTGATCAAAGTAGAAGAATGTGTTACTCCTCTACAACCTGGAGATATCCAACCAAGGGAAGGCCTGATTGATTGGTCAATTACACCGAAAACACTCTATTTATAATCCATATAGACTGAGAAATTAAATATCAGGCACACAGAATAAGAGCGTGAAATAGGTGATGACAGTCTATGAAAAGGTTTATATCCCACATTTGTACATGGAACTAACCGAAATATTCAGATATATGTCCCATTTTCTTTTTTATGATATAAGCGAAGTGCAGCCTTAGCTTTTGAACAACCAATTTACCAAAGTAGAATAATCCCTTCCTCTAACAACCTAGAAGTAACCAACCGAGGGAAGGCCTGATCACTTGGTTCCAAAACACCTTTAGGCCCTCGGCATATGTCACATATTAATTGCACTGACAACACTTAACTAAGAATTCATCTAGACTGAGAATTTAATAACTAAGCATACTGATTAAGAACATGGAGGAGGAGATGACAGTCTCTGAAACAGTTTGATGTTTGGAATGCTGGGGGACTCTGCACTACACATAAACATATGTGTACATGTGTAAAATTGACTAGATGAAATTGTTGTCATGCAAATATGAGGCAATGGATGCTCTGGCTAAGGAAGGAGTGGGGCATTATCTTCATTGCTAGCTCTTAGGGAATCTTGAGCTGCCACTTTTGTTTTATGCTTGAATCGTTATATAGTAATTTAGCCATCTCCATTGCTATTATAATTAAATTTCCTGTTAATAATTTTTTGTTACCTTGCTTCAAGAGGGAGGAAGGGAGGGAACACCCATCACTTTTAGTTGTCGAAGAGGCAGAAAGTGCATGAAGTTTCATGCACAAGATGTTGATGGGAAATTCATGTATACCATGGTACTTGTATCCATCATAAGTCTCAGTGGCTAGAAGCATTCCCATGCCATTAGGCAATCATTTAAAAGATAAAATTTTGTAGATTATATTCATTCTGGTTAGATGTTATGTAGTGCACAGTGTATTATTATGGAAAGCTATGTGGTTTTATGGGATATACGACCATATTACCATAGTGTAGTCTTGTATACGGTGCTATGTGACCTGAGTTACTCTTTCTGGGATTGTGCGCATATCACTATGTGAGTATTTGTTTGATACAAGAGGAGGTTCTGCCTTATCCGCTTGGGGTTTGGAGCTCTTAATTTTTCACTATTAATTGTGAATACGAAGTTAAAGCCATAGTTGTTGGAAACTCCTGAGATTCCAAATCTATTTAGGAATCAGAATTGCAGGTGGCTGTAAGATTCCTGTAATCGTTGTTTGTACAAGGCAAATTGCAGGTGGCTAATTCCTACTTTCTCGAAATCAAGTTTCAACCCAAATGGAATTGAGATTTTATCTCATTAGAATGGAGTTTCAACCCTTTTTTTTTTTTGAATATGTTAACTGTATTAAGCTTAAAAGGGGTACAGAAAGTATGAAGAGAGGGGGCAGGATACCCACAAACAGGTTCCACCGAAAAAATAGGCGACCCACAAACGGGTGCACTGTACAAAACCATGGGTATGTTAAAAAATCTTTACATGAATCGAGCCAATATATCGATTCCAATCTGTGGTAGGAGATCGAGCTAAGGTTCCCTAGTGGTGTCTCAGGTTGGCATTAGACGAGGTAGCAACTGCCTTTGCGAGAGAATCAGCCTCACCATTTACTTCTCTCCAAACGTGATTCCACGAGATGTGTAGATTCCTTGTGAGATGACATATTTCTTTGAAGATACTGTCTATCCTTCAAGGCCAAGGAGCAATGCCTGTGGCCCAGGCTATAACACTGTTAGAGTCACCTTCAATAGTAACATAATGCCCCCAGCTAGTATCTAACATCCTGAGGCCTTCCCGGAGGGCAGAGGCCTCTGCAATAGTTGAATCAGAGACACCAATGGGAATAGAAAAGGAGCAAAGGGTATTGCTGTTGTGGTTGCAAAATAAGCCACCTATGCTTGCAAGGCCTGGATTTCCGAGGGAGCACCCATCAAAGTTGAGTTTGATGTGGCCTACTTCAGGTGGTCTCCATAGGGAAGAGCTTGGGGGCCTATGAGGGTTGAAGGAGAGGATGGGAGTCAAGCTGTGTAGGAAATCAGAGTGGTAAAGATTTCTGAAGTGTTTGTGGTGGGTGGCCCAAGATGACAGCTGCTCTGATCTTTTCTACTAGTGCATTCAAAGAAGATGAATGGCTTCAAAAAATTCTTGCATTTTTTTCAATCCAGATGGTCCAAAGAGTGGCAGCCATCGAAGCCTGTGCCGGCCTTAGGCCATGGGGTTGAGAAAGTAGAGCTGATGAGATGAGACACATCAGGTGGCGTGACCCACTGCTGTTGGAATAGTTGACGGATGTTAGCCCAAATAGCTGAGGCGAACTTGCAATGGATGAAGAGGTGGGCATTGGTCTCCTCATCTTTAGTGCACATGATGCATGTGTTTGGGATTTGACCCCTTCTCTCTAATTGATCCACGGTAAGGGCTCTCTCGGACCTAGCTATCCAATTGGAAAATTGTGTCCTGGGGGGGACCAAAGGGATCCAAACTTTTTTTACGATAGAAGTGGGACACACAAGGGGCTTCTGGGATGAGCTAGAGAAGAGTAGAAGGAGACCACCGGAATCCAGAGCGGCAGGAAGACATAATTTAGAGTGCTGGAGAGGGCTTTGAAATCCTGAAATTCTGGGTTCGAGAGTGGCCTTCTGAGGATGGGGCACCACACCCTCCTATTGCCCATCAGCTGCAACTGGGATTCCACAGTTGCGTTTAAGTCACAGGCCAGCAAGAAAGGTCTAGGGTAGAGGTCTTTAAGGGGTGCATTCTCAGCCAAGTATCGATTCAGAAGAGAGTTTTGTCACCCTGCCTAGGCCTGTACCTGATCTCGGATAGAAAGTGTGGGTAAGAACGCAGTAAAGATTTCCATATCCCTGAGGAGTTGCTATGGGCTCATTAGGAGGGGACCCAGGAAGGGTCGGAACTGCGGTATTTCGAATTGATCACCTCCTACCACAGGTGGTTGCTTTGGGTAGCTAAGCGCCACCACCATTTCCCGAGTAATGCAAGGTTTGCATACATTCTGCCAAGATATTAGATGGATCTTCCTATCCCCATTGCTGGACCACAAAAAGTTTCTCACTAGCTGCTCCAAATGGTGCGCCACCGAGGCTGGCATATGGAATAGCGACATCTGAAAAATTGGGGTGCTCGAGAGGGTGGCTTTTATCAAAGTAAGGCGGCCAGCACGAGAAAGGAATCTACCTTTCCATCCTGCCATCTATGGTCATATCTATCAATGATATGGCTCCGTAGATTCAGTCTAGGCTTTCCTATGCAAAAGGGCAGTCCCAGATGTGAGGATGGCCGATCCTTCGAGGAGCAACCCCAGATTGAAGCAAAGTTCCTTATGATGGAGGGTACAAGGCAACACCACTCATCTTAGATTTGATCTTATTGACCTTAAGGCCTGTAGTCATCTCGAAAATCTTGAGGAAAAGATGAAGAGTGTTGAGTTGTGCCTGCGACGCCTCACAAAACAGCAAGGTATTGTCGGTGTATTGTAAGTGAGTAATCAACGGTCCTGAATTGCTGATTTTGAATCCTGTGAGCAAGCCGGCCTGGTAAACACGAGAGATAGGCCTACTGAAAATTTCAGCTACAATCGCAAACAAAGAGGGGGAAACAGGATCTCCCTGGCAGAGTCCCCTAGAGGATGGGAAGAAGCCTTTGGGGGAGCCGTTGATAAGAATGGAAAAGTGTGGGCCTGAAATGCAACCTTTGATCCAAGCTCTCCATCGACCACCGAAGCCCATGCGACGGAGAGTCTCGTCAAGGATGGACCAATCAACATGGTCATAGGCTTTCTCCCAATCAAGTTTGATGATTAAACCGGGTAGCTTGGCACAATGCCAAGAGTGGATAGCCTTATGGGCAACGAATGCTCCATCGAGAATTTGACGCCCTTTAAGGAAAGCTCCTTGAGTTGGCGAGATCTCCGAGCTGAGGACCTCTCACAGTCTCGAAGCGAGCACTTTGGTGAGAATCTTATAAGAGCTATTGATCAAGCTAATAGGTCTAAAATATTTGAGTTCTTCCGCACCCTCGACTTTAGGAATGAGTGCAATGAAAGTAGCATTCATTGCACGATGAATGATTCCTCTAGAATGGAATTCGTGGAAGAAGTCAAGGATATCCTCTTTTAAAGATTCCCAAAAAATCTTAAAAATAGCGATTGGGAATCCGTCGGGGCCCCGGGCTCGATCTTGGCCAAGATCTGAGATTGCCTTTAAGATCTTGGACTCTTCAAATGGCCTATCAAGCCAGCCAGCAGAAGTGGGAGAGATGGTTAGGAAAGAAAGATCTTCCAAATAGGGTCTAGGGCCTCTGGGTGCCTCAAAAAGTTTCTGGAAATGATCGGTGATTGTAGCTTCGATCAAAGGAGGTTGATCAATCACAGTATCTCCCACTCTAATCTGAGTGATGGTATTATCCCTTCTACAATTGGCTATTTTGTGAAAAACGCCGGCCGGTGTTGAGGTACTTAAGCCATTTCTCTCTAGACCTCTGGGCCCAAAAAATTTCCTCTTTCTTTAGGAGAAGTTGGAGTTCAAACTTGGAATTGGATCGGAGAGATCTCTTGTTTTCAGCAAGAGGACGGGGCTCAATCGAGATTCATGCTATATTGGAATCGAGTTTCAACCCAACCGGAATAGAGATTCATAACATTTTGGAGTTGAGTATCAACCCACTTGGAATCGAGATTCTTTCCTCTATGGCATCAAGTTTCAACCCAATTGGAATCAGATTCTTAAATCTATGGAATTGTGCATCCGACAACTCAGACCACAACATAAATCAACAGGAAATGTGTCTCACAGGGCCAAATGTTCAAGGTTCTAGAGTAAATTTATGCAAGAATTCCTTAGTTTTGGAATCGATATATTAGATATGCTTAGCCATGGTTCCCCCCGTATTGGAATTGACATCCTCAAAGGTTCTAAAGACCTGAACAAGGGTTCCGCTGACATTGAAATCATTGTATTGAGCCTTATCACAATATTGGAATCAAGATTGAGTTTTTGAGGTTCTGGATTGAATAAAGGAAGAAGAAATATTTGACTTGTTAATAATAAGATTTAAAAAAACAAGATACTTATTTTGGATTAAGTGCAAACAGCTGAGCAGACACTTATAGTCCACTAGGGAAATTGTGGTGGTGTTTACGAAACATACATGCATGCTTAATAAATTGAGTCAATAAAGAATGAAGACCACTGCTGGTTTTAGTGGTCATTCAGGGGTATGGGCCTTATGATTTATAATTATGCAAGGAGGGTGAAGACGTGAAGTACATAATTTTTAATGCTCCAAGGCCAAGTTGTAACTGGATTTAACGTACCTACAAAAGACATTAGCATGAGACTTTATTAAGAGCTTATTGCTCTAGACATTTGCATTTGAATGTTGATTCTGTGTTTCCAAAACTTCGACCATGCGTTGATCTGATTATTATTTGGTGCACCTATGAACTATGGGATTCAATGTTCTCCAATCCGGATTCCAAATGACTTATATTGGATTTCATAAATATTCGAAGTGATAGTTTCTGTTCATCAAATCACAGTTTCCTGCACCTATGAACCATAGTATTTGATTTTGTGGAATCTGGATTGAGATTCTATGAAGGTGGAAGCAAGATTCCATGTTGATTGAATCACGGTTTCTTGCACCTATGAAATGCAATATTTGCTTTTTTGGAATCAGGATTCCAAAAAAAATCGAATTGAGATTAATAAATGTAGGTTTGAGATTCAATAAATGTGCATTTGCGATTCAATGAACATTGGAATCTAGATTCAGAAAATGTAAAATCGAGATTCCGAACTCCAAGGAAACGGGTTCTCCATGATGATTCCTTGGTGGAACCATTGAACCTTTGAATAGGGTGAGATATTCCTGTGACTATGGTTAAAACCCTAACACATAGACAATTATATCAAATGGGTCATTTGGCAATTGAAGTAATTAAGATTATCTTATTTTCTTGGAGAGAATCACATTACTATGTCAAAATAGAAAACTGTGGTTCCAAATGTGAATAATTGTGCTTCTTTATAATTTGAAGTTGAGGTACCGTTGTGTCAATCACAAATTGTTTTTATTTCTGACCGACCATTCATTAGAACTACTATTTGCATTGAGGGGTTCTGGTCCTCAATTGGGTTGACATCACTGATATTGACCTTCCCTGAAAGACTTCATGTGTCCTAAATTTTCAGTCATTTGGAGCTTCCCTATATCCTTTTGGATACCTCTCCCTCCCTCTCTCTCTCTCTCTCACACACACACACACACACAAACACATTTTCTTCATATACATAATGGTGATAATATCTGTCGTGACACATTTCCGTTTGTCTCTCTCATATTTAATTCATTTTGCATATGCTCTATCATTATGCATTGTTCTCTCTCTCATCATTATTATCATCGTTAAATTCTTTTCCCAACTAATTGGGGTTGGCTACATGAATCCGGGTCCGCCATTTCACTCTATTAACAACCATACCCATAGTGTGGCAATAAGTCCCCATATATGTTCTCACTTTTTTCAATTATGTCCTTTTGGGCCTACCCTTTGCTGATTTGTTCAATTACACATTGTTAGGCATGATTAACATTGCTCTCTCTCTCTCTCTCTCTTTCTCTCTCTCTCTCACACACATTTTCTTCATTTACATAACAGTGATAATATCATGTCATTACACATTGCCTTGTCTCTCTCGTATTTTGTTCATTTACATAGGTATGCCATTCATTATGCATTGGTCTCTCTCTCTCATGCTTAGTTAGTTCAATTACGCATTGTTCAGCATCATTAACCCCCCCCCAATTATGCATATGCTATGCCATTATGCATTGTTCTCTCTCTCACATTTTCTTCATTTACATAATGGTGATAATATCTTGTCATTACACATTGCCTTGTCTCTCTCGTATTTCGTTCATTTACCTATGCTATGCCATTATGCATTATGCATTGTTCTCTCTGTCTCATGCTTACCCCCTGTCTCTCTCTTGCTCACTCTTATGGATTCAGGTTCTATGCCGCTGAGGTCCTCCTCGCATTGGAGTACCTCCACATGCTGGGGGTTGTGTACCGAGATCTCAAACCCGAGAACGTCCTTGTTCGAGAGGATGGCCACATTATGCTCTCTGACTTCGACCTTTCTTTGCGTAGTTGCACGGTTAATCCAACCCTCTGTCTCTCTCCTCCACCACCCTCTGCGACACCAAGCCCAACCCCAAAGCCAACATCCCCACCATCATGCTTGCATCCTAGTTGCATTGACCCCCTTTGCCTTCAATCCTCTTCATGGGCCCATATTTCCTCTTGCTTCATACCCCAATACCACAAACCCCGACGAAACCCTAAATCCAATTCTGCAAAACCCACTCGAAACCCTAAATCCAATGGTCCTTTTCCCATCAAAGCCCTCCCCCAACTAGTGGCAGAGCCCACAAGCGCTCGGTCCAACTCATTTGTTGGGACCCATGAGTACTTAGCCCCTGAAATTGTGAAGGGAGAAGGCCATGGTAGCGCAGTGGATTGGTGGACTCTCGGTATTTTTCTTTATGAGCTTCTATTTGGCAAGACCCCATTTAAAGGGTTGGATAACAGGGATACTTTAGCTAATGTGGTTTCTCAAGAGCTGATATTACCTGAAAATCCAGGGGTGAGTTTAAGAGCGAGGGATTTGATTAAGGGGTTGTTGGTTAAGGAGCCTGAGAAGAGGTTAGGATTTGTAAGGGGCACGGCAGAGATTAAGCAGCATGCATTTTTTGAGGGTTTGAATTGGGCACTCATAAGGTGGGCCCCGCCGCCTGAGAATTCAACAGTTGGAGATGTGTGGGTTACAGCATCAAGCGTTGTGAATGAGAGTAAGGTGAAATCGACAGTGGAGTTTGAACTGTTTTGAAGATTGGATGGTAGAGTTTACTCTCTCTCTCTCTCTCTCTGTCTCTCTCTCTCACTACTGCTAGTGTCTTCCTGTTCTACTTCTTTGCTGTAAATGTATGATGGCAAGAGCATGAAGGTTTGACTGCCGCTCTCTCTCTCTCTCTCTCTTTCATCTACGTAACCTGTTAGCTTTCTTCTTGTATGTAAATGTATGATGGGAAAAGCGTGAAATGTATGATGGAAAGAGTATGGCGGTTTAGCATTGAGAAATGTCTCTTGTTTGGGGAAATGAATAGATCTTTGCCTATTCTTTTGTGCTACTTCAAAACAAAGAAACTATGGTGTAGAAACAAAAGGGAAGAGAGAATGAGCAGGAGTAACACCATCAGAGAGAGAGAGGACTGTCAAATGAGTATAGTGAGAGAGAGAGGACTGTCAAATGTGTATAGAGAGGTAGAGAGAGGACTCTCAAATGAGAGAGAGAGAGAGAGAGAGAGAGAGAGAGAGAGAGAGAGAACTGTCAAATGAATCACCTGCAGACCATCACTTGGCAAAACCACGGTTCAGGTACGGGCCATAAAATGGACCCTAAGGTGAGGTCTAGTTCCAACTTGTGCAATGTTGGAGTCGACTCGATCGAAAACTTAGACCTAATCAGTTCGGATCCGGGTGGAGGTCAACTTGACATGGATCGAGTTAGAGTCCTCAGAGAGGTTTTTGTGGCAACACCCGATTTTCTATGGCAGTAACCTAGAGAAAAATTTTCATGGAAACACCGTGTTGGGGTCTGAAACCCAGAGAAAGAGTATGTATCTGTGGAGAGGGAAGGTTAAAGCCTTCAAATGTGTGTAGAGGGAATAAGTGCGAAAGAGAGACGGTTTAAGATTGAAAACAACCAAGGTTTAAGATTGAATGGAAACTCTTCAATTTTTAGAGAAAATGAGATCATAGTGTAAAAAATCTCTTATGTCAAATTTTTTTATTTTGATAATAAGCATCTTAAAGGTTCCCAATATATCATATTAAAAAAGAATTCTTCCAAGCAAGTTCTTGGCTGAGGGAGTAGATATACAATTAAGGAAAATTGTTTCATGCTGGCTGGAGCGGTTCAGAAAGTGTAAAGCATCCATATTTAAGATCGATAGAAGTAGGTGTTCTATCCATAAACAATGGAAACTAACGATCTATTAGAATTATTATTTTTAGTTTTTAAAACTTATTTATCTATTCATAATCATGATCTCCAAGTTAGATATTACATGTTCTTAAAAACTAAGTTTTAAAATCCATCTCAAAAATATATTTATTAAGAGGCCCACATTTCTACATATGCGCGCTTGGCTGCATACAAACCGAGTCCATACATTAATGCTCCTGTCCCGTTGGAGTATAGCGTGTAGGCTCAATGGGGAAAATAAAGAAAAGTAAATAATTGGATTATCTTATTATTTCAAAAAGTTAGTTATTTTATATAAGGTGTGGTTTGCATAAGGTTGCAACTTTAAACAATCAAATTGAGAGGCACCTCCAACTTTTATCGTAAATGTAATTTTGGTGTTAAAATTTCTTAGGATGTCTTCATAATTTATTTTCATATCTAATTATAAAATTTTAAACTTCAAAAATAGTCTAAATTAAGTAGATCTATAAAATATGAAAATCTTGAAAAAGGACCGTCCATAGATTTATGACAATCTTAAAAATAGACGATGCAGATAATGTGTTACAAGATACTTTATTTTAGGGACCCGAAATATTTTTTTCTTTCTATATTCATAAATCTCGATATCGAGATGATCAATAGAGGATTTTCTAACATCAAAATGAATTTTTATGATGGATTTTTGAGGTGCACCTTAATCCTACATTTCAAGGTTGAAACTTTATATTAACTTTTTCCTTTATATAATATTCAATCTTCATGGAATGAAGGGCAAGGCAAAAGGATATGAGGGGCGTGGGAGTGAAATTGTGCAGTGCCCCCACTCTCCCAATCTCTCATTGTTCCCTCACACTTTCTCTCTCCTCCTATCCTAGACCCACATTCCTCAGTTTCCCATTTTGCCCCCCACCTCATTCTTCCTCTCTGTCACTGAACTCAGCCCCAGGCCTCAGAGTTTCAGCCATGGCTTCCTCTGACTCTTCTCCTGCTGATCCCTTTGCTGTTCTCTTCGTCTGTCTCGGTAGATGCCATTGATTGTTTTTTCAAGAAGTAGACATGAATAGTATCATATCTTGCTGATTTTTATATTGAAACTTTGGGTTTTAATTCGAATTTTGTGTGCTAAGAATATTATGTTTTTGTTGACCGAATTGGTAATTTAGAGCCTCTGATCTTGAATTAATAGATTTTAAGTTCATTGGGTCAGTTATTTCTGTATTTTATGTATTAGTCATGATTTTGATGGACAGTAGAAGAATAATTTGTAGATGATCAAGAATTGGACCGTGAATTCTATGAAATATGACATATTAAAATTAAGGAAGAGGATTCTATGAGCCAACACGCTTATAGGGCACATAGTCCAGACAGCCAAGATCGAGGAGGACAGGCGAAATCAACAGTTGAGAATGAGGAACTCATTTTGGCCCAGATTTTTATTAAAAGTTCAGTTTTTTTCTTTTATTTCGAGACCTACATGTGCGCAAAATTTGGGGTCCATCAGACTCCTATATATATCAAAATCTTAATTTTATTAATGCTCAAACATGGCTGCTCGTCACTTTCTCCTTGGATCTTGGCTATTCGACCTACAGTGTGCTATAGATGGGTCGGCTCATATAATCATTTTCCTTAAATTAAATCAGTTTGGGGTCTGACTGATCTCCTTTCAGATTGATTTTATGTTGCATTCAAGCGCAGACCCGGGCACACGTCGTGCACACGCACGTATGCTTAATTCCTAAAGGCAATTCTAGCAGATACGCTTTCTGGGTTCCCATAAATCCGTGTTTTCCATTTATCGATAACAAAAACACCATCATTTTAGCTCCATTACGCACCTGCAAGTTTTTCCCCAAAAAATATTATATTAGGTACAATGAACTCATAGCATGCACTTACCTATGTAAGAATCCAATATACACAAGAAATGTAAGTTATCTGGCTTCAAATCAGTTAGAGTGAAAAACCTAATGAGAAACGTCATGAAAGCTCAGGGATTCTGCAGCAATGAAGATATAATAACTTGAATTGAGTTTGAAATTAATGGGAGAGTAACCTTACTTTGTAGAAAAAACATTTTGTTGGCCTTGGGTGGAAGGCTACATTGTTCTGCTCTCCCCATTTTGGGGCCTTAGGGGCATTTTTTTCACCCCAAACTTCACACACACATCCTCTTGGCCCTGATGAAGGCGCCCGTGAATAAAAATGCAAAATATCCTGGAAAATGGATTTCTTGAACCCTGTGAGTGCAGGCTGGCCATTTCTTGGGCAGCTAGATCTAGTCCTTTAAGAACGCAAAATCAGTCTTTTGTTTTTGTTTTTGCTGGTGGTAAATTGTTCATCTGGTGATGAGGAAATCTACAAAATTTGGGGTTAAACAAACTCCCTTAAGGTCTCGATCTAGCACTATTCTTTTCTTTCCTAAAATGGAGAACTATTTTCAGGGTTTTCTTGTTATTTTTTAACGATCTTATTTGCCGAGATCAAGAAGATGCACGTGACGTGCCAAATTTGGAGTGAAACTGATGCTTCTAAGGCCCCCCAAATGAGGGAAGGCAGATACTATTCCGCTCGGTCCTTGGCCAGCCAAAATTTTCCCTACTTTTTACTAGATCCCCTGTCAAGTAGAGAGGAACTCCATAAAACATCAAAGAAAACAACTTGGGTATTCATAAACATACTAATCCCCATGTACATGGGAAAGTACATCATATAGCATTGGATATATGATATAAACATCACAGTGCATCCCCCATCCATTCCTGATGGTGGACTGTGGAAATGAACTGTGGTTCCTGTTGATGGGCATGCTTCTTGGTACAGTTAATCTTCACCGCTCCTCATTGGGAACGACCGCTGGATGATCCTGTAGTACCATATAGGCATGGGTTAGACGTCTTTCATTCATAACCAAATTTTATCTTGTATAACTTCATCCTAATCCATTTATAATCTTTATGTAGAAAAATATATAGATAATCTGCTTAGAAATGATAGAAATCTGAAACCAAAAGGTTCAAACCAACTAAGATTCTCAATGAACATAAACTCCTTAAAAATGAGGTTTAATTTCCGCAGCTGCAGTTTGATTAGCAGTCTGGTATATTTCATCCGATGATCCAATGTTGGTAGATATTTCTCTTTGTAAATTTACTTCCTTTTTATTAGTTTGAAAAGTTTATTGTTTTGGTCTTAGCTGACCAATTCATCCTGGTTTTGGTTATAATAACTGGGTTGAACTAGATCATCTGCTTCAATTAATAATTGGCTTTAATAATATATTTCCTTTCCACTGTTTTTTTTATTTTTATTTTCCGGAGTGTTGGGGTGGTCTCTGTTCTATCTTTCTGTATAGGTTAATTTAATAGAAACTACATTGTTTTTTTGATATTATCCTTAAATTGATGGTGAGAAAGAAGAGTACAAAAGACCTTGGCGATCCACAGAAAAGGATGCCCAAGGGGAAACAAAATAAGAGGCAGGAACACGTCCTTTTTTAGGAGGGTACAACTGGGTAGCAACCTAATAAAATAGTTCGGTCCGAAGAACAAAAAAGAACAGCCCAAAAGAGTGAAAACCCAAAAATCAGTTGTCCGCCATCATAGCTGCTTCTTTGGCGAGCGTATCAGCTTCCTGGTTTCCTTCTCTCCAAGTATGCATCCACATGACAGACATATTCATGCAAAGGTGATGAATCTTGTCAAACACTTGCGCAAGGAACCGGTGGGGGGCGGGGGGTGAATAAGAAAGTCTCTGCGCCCAAGAAATGGTGTTCTTGGAGTCACCTTCGACCACTAAGGAGTGTAAGTTGAAGGGTTGAATGAGTTTTAGGCCTTCCAAAGCGAGGACTTCGGTTTCCATAGAGTTGGTATGGCCTATATGTTTGGATGGAACCTGTGGCCAGTGTAGAACCCAGTTGGTCTCTGAGAATGGCTCCTACACCTGATGGGCCCGGGTTTCCGATGGAACAACCATTCGAAATTCAGTTTGAGCTCTCCTACAGTGGAGGGCTTCCACCTCGTGGTCCTGGACAGATGCACTCTGTTGACTTGGAGGACGTTGCTCCAATTGTGAGTGAATGCCGATGCTGGAATTCCTTTGAAGCTGCTATGGTTGGTTGCCCAGAAGATGATTGTGGTCTTGAGCTTATCGAACACTTTGTTCCAAGGGGAGTACTCCCATAGACCAGCTGCCACCGAGGATTTCCAGAGCAGTATCCCCGCCTTTGGCCAGTGATAGGGTTTGATTGCTGAACAGATGGATATTACCTCAGGCGGTAGCACCCGCTGAACGTTGAAGAGCTTGAGGATTGCCCCCCACAGATTGAAGGCAAGGGGACAGTGCAACAAAAGGTGATTATTTGTTTCCTTAGCTGCTAGGCACAAGACACATCGATAGGGTATCAGAATGCCCCTTCTCTGCAATCGATCTACTGTGAGGACTCTCTGAGGAGAGCCAACCACATAAAGATCTGAATTTTTGGGGGGGTCGAAGGAGTCCCAGGCTTGAGCAGCTAAGGCCACAGGTACCAAAGGAAAAGTATTGGTACCAAAGGAAAAGTAGGGGGCAGAGAAAGGCTGCGATAGAAAGAGGACAGCGAGAAGAGGCCAGAAGGTGCGGGCGTCCAAATCATATGATCAGAACCAGTAGGTAGAAGGAAGCAGGCGTGTAGATCTGCCGCTGAGGTTGTGAAGCTCTCAAACTCCGAGTCATTAAGATCTCTTCTGAATGCTGGGTTCCACGAGCAAGAGGAGCCAGTCAAAAGCATTTCTTCTGCAATAGTGGCCCCTTGATCTCAGGTCAGAGAATAAAGGTCTGGGAACCTATCCCTGAGAGGGGCGTGGCCTAACCATAGGTCTTGCCAAAACAGAATGTGATTCCCTGATCTCAGGTGGAATCTAATTCGTGACTTGAAGGCGTGGAAGGTTGAGCAGATCGACCTCCAAATGCCTGAGGATCTTTGGTTGGTCCTACAGTTTGGTAACCACGGTTTGCTAGGAAGATGGTACATGTGCTTTAGAATATCTATTCATAGCTGATTCCTCAGGTTCGTCATGTGCCAACACCGCTTACCAAGGAGGGCTAAATTCTGGGTTCTGAGGTTTTTGATCCCTAATCTTCCACTTTGCCTCAATTGGCAAAGTTTGTCCCATGCAAGCAAGTGGAATTTGTTGTTGGCTCTGTCACCCGACCAGAAAAACCTTTTCATTAACTGGTTGATCCTGGAGCTAACTGCCACGGGCATTCAGAATAAAGACATTTGGTAGACCGGGATGTTAGCCAAAGTGGCCTTGATGAGGGTTAGCCTCCCTCCTGGGGAAAGGAATCGATCCTTCCATCCTACAAGTCTGCGGTCCACTTTATCTATGATATGAGACCACAATCTCAATTTTGGTTTGCCTAAACAGAGGGGCAGACCAAGGTAATTGGATGGCAAAGCTTCGGCCTCACAACCCCAACTTCGGCAAAGGTGGATAAGGTTGTTGTATCAACGTTTACCCCCATCATCTTGGTTTTGTCGAAATTGACTTTGAAGGCGATTGCATCGAAGCACCAGAGAAGCAGAAATAGGTTGTGAATCTCTTCTATTGTAGCATTGCAAAATACCAAAGTATCGTCTGCGTACTAGAGGTGGGATATGTTTGGGCCTCGATTACCCACCGAGAAGCCATACAAACGTCCAGCCAAAAACATTATGGAAATGGACCTGCTGAAAACCTCAGCCGCGATGGCAAAAAGAAAGGGGGAGAGGGGATCCCCCTATCTGAGGCCTTTGGTAGATGGGAAGTATCCTTTTGGTGAGTCATTAATGATGATAGAGAAATGTGGATGAGAGTAACACGCTCTCATCCATCCTCTCCATCTAGAGCCGAATCCCATCCTTGATTGAGATTCTTCTAGGATATCCCAGTCTACATGGTCGTAGGCCTTCTCCCAGTCCAGCTTTACAACAATTCCAGGGCCTTTGGCCAGATGTCTTGAATGAATACATTCATGGGCCACTAAGGCCCCATCTAGGATTTGACGATCATTGATGAAAGCACTTTGGGTAGTTGAAATGACTAAGGTGGCCAGCGTGGACTTTAGCTTGTATTTTGTAGGTGGAGTTCACCAAGCTTATGGGATGGAAATCCTTCAGTTGGGTTGCCCCTTCTACTTTGGGAATGAGAGTGATAAAAGTGGCATTCATGGCCCCATTGATGATACCCCTTGAGTAGAATTCCTCAAACAGTTTGAGGAAGTCCTCTCTAAAAGATCCCTAAAAAAGTTTGAAGTAATAGGGTAGCCATCGGGTCTAGGGGCCCTATCATAGTCTAAAATGGCAGCTAGGATTTCAGGTTCAGAGAAAGGTCTCTCTAACCAGTTGGCTTTGTCTTGGGGTAGAACTAGGAACTCAATGTCCCCCATAGGAGGAGTTGGGCGGGGGGGGGGGTAGAGAAGAGGTTCTAGAAATAGCCAAGGATGGCTTTCTCAATATCAGGAGGTTGGTCCAGAAGGTTGCCGTCGACCGAAAGGTGTGTGATTGAATTGTCTCTGTGTCTACAATTGGCGGTCTTACGGAATAATCCAGTGTTGAGGTCCCCAGCCTTAAGCCTCTTAATCCTGGATCTCTGATACTAGAAGATTTCCTCTTTCTTTAAGAAGGCTTGATATTGGAGCTTCATATCATCTCTGAGAGTGGATTCCTGGGCCGAGAGGGGTCTGGATTCTTCTAGCGAGTCAAGAGTTTGTAAGGCTTGCAAAGAGGCAGATTTCTGAGGTCCTAAAAACCTGGGTAGTCCCCTACTCTAGGATTTTAAGTGAGGCTTCAATAATTGCAGCTTTCATTGTAGTTTGAAGCCAGCCCAGCGATCTACCAAATTCGATAGAGCGGACCACCATTCTGGAAATAGGTTGACGATCGACTGTTCCTCGAACCATGCCAGTTCAAATCTGAAGGGTTTGGGTCCAGACTCTGCCAGCTTGGAGTCCAGAAGTATAGGACAGTGGTTGGAGGTTGGTATGGGGAGTGCCAAAGAGTGGGTCCCAAGAAAGTTTGAATCCCAGTCTATAGAGATTAGGAATCGGTCGAGCTTTAAGAGGGTGGGGTTGGAAGAGTGGCTGGACCAGGTGAACTGGGCTCCTTGATATTGAAGGTCAAGCAAATTGTTGAGGGCAATGAAGTCGGAGAAAGCTAACATAGCCGGGGTGATTTTGGTTGAGGTGTTTTGTCTCATGGCACCACCTCGTAACGTTGAAATCCCCCCCATGCACCAGATGGGATTGGGTAGAGTGGCAACCTGGTTGAGTTCTTCCCACAGAAGAAGACGGTCATTGTTTGAGTTGGGTCCATAGACCGCGGTAAATTTCCAGGGTAGGCCATCAGGGATCCTAGAAAGCAAGATGGTAACAGATAGTTTGGAAGCTTGGTGGGACAATAAGGAGTGTTCTGTGGGTTCCCAAATGATCCATATTCCTCCCGATGCCCCTTCAGCTGGGAATGCGACCCATTGACAGGTTCTGCACCCCAAACTTGTCTGACCTGAATCAAAGTAGGCTCAGGGAGTTTCATCTCTGTGAGAACCAGAATGGTGGGTTTAAACCTAAAGCAATGATCCCTGACTGCCTACTTTTTTTGTGGCAGTCCAAGCCCTCTGATGTTCCAAGAGAGTATCAGCATTGAGGTGACAAGGCGAGGGGAGGGACTGCCTAACCAAAAGACCTGTGGGGTGATATTTAGGCAGGATATAGGAGAGGGAGAGATTGGATGCAGAAGGTCTATTAATAGTGCAAGCCAAGTTTGTCAACTCCCGATTGCCTTTGTTGCTTACCCGAACTCGTGACTGCAGATCATCCTTGAAAAATTCGAGAAACGGTCCATCTGGTCCAGATTGTGGGAAGCCTATCACTCTCAAGATGTCCTGGATCTGTCCTTGGCCCTCGTCGACACCATTAACATAGTTCGAGTCCACCGAGGGGTGGGGGAGAGAAGATCTCCCATGGTGTCCACTGAAAGGGACGATCCTGATGAGTCTATGGTGGACGGAACAGGGGAAGGTAGTGCCGGGAGCACCGGAAAGTGGAGCCCATCTGCTTCGATGGGTCTGAAAATACCTGTGGACAGACCGAAAAGGTCCTCAGTTGAGGTGGAAGCTGTTTTATCCAGAGAGAGGGGAGGGGATAAACAGTTGGCCTGAAATGAAGTTGGGGAACCGATGAGGGGGCAGGGAGATTACTGGAAGTGGGATTAAGACAAGGAGAAAGACAGGGCAAAGGCACCGAGGGTGGGTCGGTTCCAAGGTTTGAAATGGGGGAAAGAATGGTAGGTTGAGGGTTAAGTTGAGGGCCATGAGGAACAGGTGTCAGGACTCAGCTGAGTCCACTCAGACTCGGCCAAGGGATGAGTCCCTTGGCCAAGTCGAGTTTCTGAACGTTGCTGGAAATTGGAGGATTATTAGAGTAAGGAATTCAAGGACAATTTTGAGGCTATGTGCCAATTGGGGCTAATCATGCTCATCTCATAACCCTTTTTATTTATGGGATTTGTTCAATATTGAGAGCCAACTTCTAATCTACTTTATTTCTTGCAGGAAATATATGCAGAAGCCCAGCCGCTGAAGGTGTCTTCAGAGACATTGTGAAGAAGAAGGAACTGTCATCTAAAGTCAAAATTGACTCTGCAGGGACAATGGACTATCACGAGGTACACACGTCTTCTAGTAATTCAACAGTTTCATGGTAATCTCTCTCTCTCTCTCTCTCAAAATTGAGTGGAAACTGGTCATGCAAGGGTAATCCAGCTGATTCGAGAATGAGGAGTGCTGCTAAGAAGCGTGGAATAGAGATAACGTCTATCTCAAGACCTATAAGGCCATCGGACTTCAAGGAATTTGATTTGATTCTTGCAATGGATAAACAAAACAGAGGTATAGACATACTCGGATTCTTGTCATTTGTGACGTGCAATATCTGACTTTTGGTCTTCTTAAGTGAGCTTTTTATAATAGGTATCCTTTCAATTTCAATTGTCTTCCCTGGATTCTGCTTCCATCACTACATTTTTTTGTTAAAAATTACTCAGAATATGATCTTAAATTGAGTTTCTATTCCCTGATGTTGCTGCAGCTGACATCTTGGATGCCTACACTCGATGGAAACAGAGGGAATCCCTCCCTCCAAATGCCACTGACAAGGTCAGCTAAATCATGTCCCCCCCCCTCCTCTGTCTCTCTCTCACAGCTTCTTATGGTTGACATGATTAGAATACCAAAACCTTCTCCCAAAACAGACAAACACGCATTCGCATCCCCACGCCCATGGCCATTACCATCTTCCTGTTCCTATTTTGGTGTCAAGTGAAGTTTGTTCCCTTTTTTTCGTTTCTGTGAATTCTAAAGGTACCTGTTGTATTTCTCTTAGTCTCGGCCTTCATGTTTCACATTATAACTTTGTTATGCTTTTGCATGGTCTTCTTTTTGGGCCTGAAATCCCTTAAGGAGAAGCCATCTATTTGGCCCTGGCTACAAATTCATGATTCTGTGTTGCTGGTTTGAAGCTGCTCATAAATGCAGGTGAAACTGATGTGCTCCTTTTGTAAGAAACACAAGGAAACAGAGGTTCCTGATCCTTATTATGGTGGACCTCAAGGGTTTGAGCAGGTAAGGAGCATCATGAGTTTGTTTGATTAGCCTCTTGATCTTTATTTTTTCTTCGTTTGAAATGGAGTTATGAAGAAATTTAGAAGTGTAAATATCTTTTTTTTTTTGGGGTAAATAAGTTTTAAGTGTAAATATCTTTGAAACTGTAGAATTTTAAAACTTAAAGTTTTAATATTGATAGCTTTCTATTTATCTGATCAGACAAAAGCCAAAGTTTTAAGATAAAATGCTTTAAGGACTTTAACGTTGAATAAAAAAAGAAAATTGTTTGGGCACGTCTGCAAATAGGAAAATATTTTCCCTTGGAAAATGCTTCCCCAGGAAATTAATTTATTTGGAAAATGATTTCTCAAGGAAATATCCCCCCTTGCTAAATGACGTATTTGGAATGCCCTAAGAAATGAGTTTCTCTTGTTTGATGACATCGGGGAAGTTTTCCATGGAATATAGGACATACTTGTTTTTAGCCGACCCCACTTAATTGGGAAACGGCTATGATGATGATAATTTATCCAATTGTAGGGCTAACAAAAATAAGCATTCAAATTGTGAATTCTTAATTTATTATTCATACCATTAGTTGTTATTATAGTTAGTAAAGTCACAACTAATTGGAGTCTAAAACTTTGGAGAGGACGAGCTTGATTTGTTTGTGAATTTATATGTTGACAAAAGGATCCACTTTTCCCTTAATTTTTCCCAGGTTTTGGATATACTTGAAGATGCTTGTGAAACATTGCTACACACCATTCTTGCTGAGAATAAGCATATTGCCAGCCCCAGTCAATAGATATTTGGATTTTGTCTATCATCTCGTGTACATGTTAATAGGAAATTAAACCTATAACAGATTATGATTTTTCATTTCATCTTGCAGTGTGGCCAAATTTAATGCATTGGAAGCTTGTTTAATGTGGACTAGTTTCTTTTCTTCTTTTTCTAACCCCCACCCACCCACCCACCAATTGAATCCATTTGAAGCTTTTTATTGTGGACCAGTTTGTTTTTTTTCTTTTTATTTTTATTCTTTTTTGACATGTTAACTAAGAATAGATCTTTTGATGTTGCTTTGTGGCTTGAAAATAGTAAGAAATGATATGGAGATTTATGGCCACACTGAAAGTATGACCCTTAATAAAGTGGATTGATATATCAAGATTTATGTATCCGATCCCAATTAATTGAAAAAAGCTACGATGATGTTACTTTGTGACTCCTGGTTTGACCACCACTAAAGCCAAAGGCCCAATTCTAATATGGCCCAACACGTTATGAAGGGAGGGCATTTGGACTTTCCCATGAACCACAAATGCTCGACTTACTTTTCTTTCAAGAATGATCCTCATGCTAGAGCAAAAAATTCAGAGGCAAATGACGTACTTAGAAAGATTTTCTTGATCCAGAATTTTGGGATCTATGGCAATTGATCCTTTACTGGAGGATCCAGTGTGGGAATCGGGCTTGAGCTAGGATGGCTGGTGGTTGACACTTATGACGTTAATTATTCACAAAAGAAAAAAACAAAAAAAATCTAAGGTATTGAAGTTCTAATTATTATTATCATTGTCACTATTATTATCATTACCATTATTATTATATTATTAATATAATATTATTATAAGATGTGTTACTAGGTTGAGTAGTTCACGTCTTCCATAACTCGGGGTCCTAAAAATACGACCATCTAATGTTTTACTTGAGGGGAAAACTGAGGGAGTACATGTACATTTGGCTCGAAGCTGGACCATGCAATTTCTTCATATTTTTCTAAGCATCCCTTTCTAATTATTTGTGTATCTCACCTTGAAAAAGATTTGATGAGTGTGGGACTACCTCAACATGGGAAATATCCCAACAGAAATCTGTTCAAGACAGCTGCACAGGTATCCACCCATTGCATTTAGGATTGACTGCAAGAATTTCACCCACTTCATTTTATGGTAAATATTTAAGATTTGACTACAAGAATCCTGGTCTGGCCCATTATGGGACAATCTCATTGGGTCTGGGCCTGGTACAATCTCAATGTATACAATGAGATAAGCTATAACAATAAAAAAAGCTAAACCAATCTTAGTCCCAAAACCATAAAATACATTCCTTCCTTTTTTACAATTAAAACCAATAGTTATTTAGATACTCGTTGCAATGCAGCTTCTTGACTATGATACAATGCCCATCCAATTCCATTACCTTGGTGAATAACCATGATACACATGCTACATTGCGCAAGGCTACATCTTGTCTTACCTACCGGCATCTCACTTCGTGTGCGTGTGTGTATGAGAGAGTGAGCAGTGGCGATCATAAGTTCACAGATGTTAAATTTAAAAACCAGTCTGCCGATGGTCGAGATGCATCCTCCCCATTTTACACCTCTATCTCTCTCTCTGGCCAATTACACCACCCACCTTATCACCAACTTTTTCTTCCTTGATCACACGATATAACTCTTGCTCGACTTCTTTCGGTTTCGCTTCCTCTTGGGGTTGGCATCAAGCATGCAATAGAAAGCATTCACAAGCTCAGCATCCTCCTCACAGGTGAGGATCTTGATGGTCTCAGGATTACGAAGGAGGAGCTTAGAAACTAGGAAACCAGCTATGGACCATGTTTGATATAGGCGGGCTTGCTTTCCAATGAAGCGGGCTTTCTTTGTGTCATAGTACTCAGGCCACCGTTCCCTAGAAATTCGAGCCTCTGCAATCTTGATGGCCTTTGCAGCTAGGTGTGGCCTGTTCATCTTTATGCAGGCCACAGTGAGCTGCAACAGGTTTGATCAGTAAGGTGAGCTGAGACAGGCTCAAAAAATTGGAAACTCAAAAAGAAAATGGCCATGGTCAATTGTTAAATTTCAGTGTATGTGAGAGAGAGAGAGAGGGAGAGGGAGAGAGAGGGTACAAATGTGATCCCACTTCAATTTTAAAATGTTTCCCTTGTCTCTCTCTCTCTGTGACATGGCTTGACAAACTAATATGAAAAATGATTTGGTGGGAGATTGCCAACATCTGGGTACGTGCCCACAGGTGACAAAACGCATATGTATCTGTTTGTGCACACTTCTATGAACAATCAAAGAAGACCAAAAAGGTGTTTGAAAACTTAGTGACTCGGTCTCAATAACCCTGAGACTTGTCTGAATCACACCAGGCCATGGACCCTTCTTTGTTATTTTCAAGAAGACTACGAACCTTGGTGAGACTCAGCAGAGTCGGATCACTGACACAGGCTAGGAACCTGTTAAAGTTCCAACCACAGTCCAAGTTTTAAATCACTCCCCCTGTCCCCTCCCCAACAAAAAAAAAGAAAAGAAAAATATAGGCAAAAATGGAAATGGAATATCCATAACATACCTGCCATAGTAGAGTTGGCCAAGAACCACCGTTATGGTATGACCAAGGCCTGCACACACAATCAACATTAGGCGCCAATATAAGACAACGACTAAAACACTCACAAAGCACGAGAAAATAACTTGTTAATAAAAGAAAGAACGAAGGAAAACTAAAAAATAACGAAAAGTACTATAGTAAGTCCAATGGACTATAGACAACCGTAGTCCATTGGAGGACATGACTGTAACTAAATGATGGATGATGAACAGAGTGGGAACTCTACTGGGGCTCACTCTCTCTCCACTGTCCATTTCTTTAGATGGAGACAACCTCAATAGACTACAGTTATTTGAGGTCCATTTTACTATAGTACACGTCTACAAAGATAAAATAGATGAGTCAATCATGGGTTAGAGATAACATACGTGTTCTTCTTTTCTTTTCTGTTTTTCAATAGGTTCTCTTAAACTAAAAGTGTGTACAAAAGGAAAGTAAGGCATACGTGTTCTTTGGATCACTGCCCGTGATAATCCTCCATTCCTGGCCTTCAAGAGCAGGATAACAAATCTTGAATGGCATATCAGCAACAAAGTCTCCCCACTTAGACTCAACAAGGTCTAGTATGGCTTCAGATTGCTCTCGAGTTGCTAAGTTACACACTATAGACCACAGGTTTCCGAGAGAAAAGAATCGAAAGTCCATATGGGCTGGTTGCAAATTCCCTATAAAATAACCTCCTGTATCCGGCATCCACTCAACCAGCCATGGAGGGATCTGATCAGGATATATATTAAACTTGTTCACAGCATCATATGAGTATTCCTCGGTCTTGTACCTGTAGATTTCATTCAATTTCTTCATATCGACCCAATAATATTCTCTAATGTGGAAGGAGAGAGCAATGAGCCGATTGTTTAGAGCTCTCATGAGGTCTGCAGATGAGTCTTCAGGTGTGAGCATCTCTCGGGCACTGCGAAGGGCCGAATAGAACAGTGCCTGCAAGTGATGGAGTTCTCAATATTGGTGTTTGGGGATACAAATATCTAAAAGTGGGTTTACACAAAGACCTTCAGGGTCATTGTTTCAGTATCTTCAATGGTTTTGCTTCTTTTCCTTCTGGGAATTTTAAAAATATATATTGCCTAACAATTCTGCTTCCCTTTCAAACAAATTGAGAAAATGAATCCAGCAGTCTGAGTTTTGACCATCCCATTTGTTTTTAAAAAGGGTAACCTAAAAAAATGAACTAGTTCAACCTTGTTCCCATGTTGAATAGCTATAAACAATTCAGGGGTGGGGGTTATTAATTTTGAACAACAGTGACTTACTTGGAAGAACAAATTTTGCACCGTACAAATTTTTTTTTTTTAAGTTCCATTGCAATATGCATTTTGGATTTTCGAACTGGGGTGCTAGAGTTTTACTTTGCACAGCAGAAAAGAATGAGTACATGTTCTTGTGCATTTAATTGATGCATAAGCATAAGTAGGGAAGTTAATTATGGTTCTCGAGCAAATAGGGCAGAATATCAGAACTCAGATACTATCTACAAGGTAATGATTACATGACAAATAATAAGGTAACTGGCTATATTTTCCAATGATTTTCATTATATTTTTTATAAGTCAAATTGATAAATAGTGTGGTCGCCTGCCTGGATTTCCAAAGGATGACCATGGATCCCCATTCGCCTATCTATCATGCACGACCCATCTGTTACAAGAAGCGTTGGAAACATATCAAAACCATCGGCAAGACACAGTTTCAGAATCATCTGCATGCCAGTTTGGACATCAACCCTCTCCTGAACTGACAGATCTCCAGAGCATTTTCCATATGCTCTAAGCAATATAATCCACCATAACCCTGAATGAGAAACCACAAAAGTAAGCACAATAAACAAGATTATTAAAATGAACAGGTAAAACCAACGGAGATGTACTAGAATCCAACAGACTATGGAGAATTCATGTCCATTGTGTCATCACTGTCTAATGGAATGGAGACAGATTGAGAGAGAATGCTTCACCGATCAGGGTGATGTCCTTTTTTTTCCCTCCCTCTTTTGAAAATTCTTTATGATCATGTGCTTTTCTGTGGCCATTCTCTCTCCATCAACATCCATGATCCATAATTTCAGCAAATGGTCATGAAGTCAATGGACTATAAGTCCATTGCATCAATTCTATGTCCATGGGATCACATAACATTTTGCAAAAATAAAAGCTAATAACTATCATCAGATAAATATTAAAAAATGGAGAAGACAATGGCAATAAAATCACTCAATAAAAATAAATTTAAAAACAGTCTAATATACCAGAATCCACAGGTGCAACACGTCCAATAGCCGCCTCTCCAAAGTCGGGATCGAGAACATCCTCGGTCGCTGTGTCATCTCCTTCAAGTGGCACTGTACGTACTTTGAAGCTTGCAGGCATTAATCCTTGACCTGGGCTATGACAGTCCATTGTTTTTTCCCAGCTCTGTCAAATGAAGGGCAAAAAAACCCTCAGTGGCAGATACAAGGAAAATCAAGTTGGACACACCTACCCTACTCCCACTACGTAAATAATGAACATAAACAACTAGAATCGCATCATATAATCACAAGTTTTAATTAGTAAGGACACAACATGTTAATTTAAGTGCCAATCTTCAAATGACTGCATTTAGCAATCTTTGCCGTTAGGATCTCCCTCTAGTAGTATAGAGAAGAAAAGAACAATTTCCAACATATTAGCTTCTCTGTCCATACGGGATATTACCAGTCCCAATTCTTGAATCTATGTTTAGGCCTGGTGTTAAGAATTCGATCACTACTCTAATAACACTAATCAAGGGAAAGAAAAAATGCAGCATTAGAATGTGGACAAAAATTTACTAATCCGCTAATCAAGGTCAATGACAAGAATCATAAGGATGCAAAGTGTAAACCCATTCTTTTTCCGAACGAAAATAATTCCCCAAAAAAAAATCTGGGTTCTGATGGTATAAATCTCAATCTTTCAATGACATAAGAAAGGCCTCTGGAGGGGTCCAATATTCAGGCATATCAGTACAACGTAAGATCAAGGGTGTTACAATAGCAGTTAATAAAACTCATCCACATAGAGTTTTCACCATTAAGTCTAAAAATACAATGACCAAAATCAATTGAAATAGTATTCAACAATACTAAGACAAAGTAATCCATGGAACCAATAAGAAGCCACATGAAATAAAAGATAATGATATATGAGTTAATAAAAATGGAATTCCCAACAAAATAGATGAACTTTAACATGAAGCTAAGAAAACCCGAAATGAAATTGAATTACGAATAAAGGATAACAAAATAACATAGAACAAATAAAATTCTGATTTCTTAGCAGTCTATTCCATATCATATGTGCAAAACCCAGAGTACCTCAGAAGGGAAAAATAAGAAAGAAAGGAATACATTATACCTGCAACTGAAGTGTGTGGAGAATGAAGTTTCGAACTATCTCGTACTCCCCTTTCAAGAGAAAAGCTATACCAGAAGGAATGAAATCCCTTATAAAAATCTGATCATAATTCAAAATACTGGGGTCAGTTGGGTCATTTGCAGCAATGGTTCCAATTGGACTACCACAATAATTCACCATAGCTGCCTGTAAAAGATCCCATGCTTCTCTCTCTACCGCACTTTCTCTCTCATCAATTGACTCATTGCCAAAATAATCACTTTTCAATGTTGTCTCTCTCTTCTCAGAATTAGGGCTTTGAGACCCAAACGCTAAACCACTGTTTCCATTCAACTCAGGAGAGAAATCGTTTTTGGCAGTTTCAGGAGACCAAGCACCATTACCATCTTTGCCAAGAATATCACCAAGGCGATCAGATTTCTGGCCGTGACAAGGAAGAATCAATGGTCGATTTTGTCCACATTTCTTGCTGAGAAACCCTAATTGTCGATGAATTGCATGGATTCTTATGAAGTTTTGCAGTTGCATGGTATATTGCCATGACTGTAAATTCTGGAGAGATGAAGAATCAGTAGAATTCCTCTTGTTTCTGCACCTTCTCCCATGGGGTCTTAGGAAATGAGATGAATTATAACTCCCTGAATGTAAATTTGGGTAAAATTGAGCTCGACATAGAGTGTGCACAACATTCATTGTCAGGCAAACAAAGAATTCCAAAACAAACTTAGACTGTCAGAGGACAAGAAATAAACTACAGGAATTAGAGATAAAATAGAGAAATACACACTGAAATCTAATGAAAAGGGCTAGAATCAATCTCAAGAAAAAGCGAGAGCAAAAGTTTTAGAGAGAGAAAGAGAATAGTTAAGAGACAAAGTGAGAGAGAGAGAGAGAGAGTGATTTTATCTGATTGTATCAGAAGTTCTTCAGAGTAATTTTGGAACGGAAAAATCTCAGAGACTGATACCAAAACCTAAAAATGCCTGAAATCAGATAGAAGAAGAGGGTCAAAAATCTAGAGAGAGAAAGAGAGAACGATCAAATGAACTCTCTCAGAATCCAAAACATAGAGAGATTCACATATTAAAAAGAATCGTAGATGATTCCAGATAAATCTCTATGAATAGGAAACGAAAATGGGGAAAAAAATCAACAAAAATAATCAGAAGAAACCCCAAAAGTTAAAGAGTGACAAAAAAAGGAATAACGATGAAAACACGAGAAGTTAGAGAGAGAAAATTAGGAATTCAGCTCGAATAGCACGAGATTCATAAAGAAAACCTAAAAGCTAGAGAGAAAGAGAGAATAGAGAGAGAACTACCAGCTCCCAGCACTGGTTTTTATTAGAAGAGATAATTGAATGAAATAAAATTTAAATCTTCTTTATTTGGCCAAGCAAAAAAATCAACCTTAATCAATCTCAGATTAATAGCAGCAAGTACACTTAAAATTTTAGTGAAATGCCGAAAATACCCCTAAAGCATAGGGAAGGAGAAGTCCATCGTACACTACTAGTGTATGGTGTGTGTGGTGTATGGTACACCACTTCATGTGATTCATTCAAGTGCCATGTTCTTTATGATCAGTGAATTCCATGGAATTATCTTCCAAGAAAAAACTTTAAGTTACCCATTTAAAGAAAAATATTGAAATAGAATTATTATGAAATATTATTATACGTTTTCTATTAACAGATACAAGATTTTTTCTTTTTGTAATAAAGCGATTTGGAGGAAATTTGTTGGGACAAGTTTAAATCAATGTTAGCAGAAATGGATAGGTCATTGAACAGTCAAAACTGGTTAAACCATTAGTTCAAACGATTGGACTAGAAAATAATGAAAAATATAAATAATAATGTAAAATATAAATTGTATTTCAAAAGAGTTATCCAACTTTGTTTAGTTTATGTAACTGGTTAAAATCAGGGACTAATTTTCTACATGGCCAAGCTTGCATGCATAAAAAAGCGGGCATCTTAATAAATCTATTTTTGAGATGGATTTTTAGACTTAATTTTAAAGGACATGTAATCTCTAACATGGATATCATGAATATAAATAAATAAAAAAAATTTAAAACCTAAAATTAATAATTCTAGTAAGAAAACATTTTGACCATTAGTTTCCATTGTTTTTAGATGGAACACTTAGCATCCATCTTTAAAATGGAAGCATTACACTTTCTGGACTGCATACGTAGACATGCGGTCCAGCCCATATTAAACAATTTTCCTTAAAATTAGTAGGTTTCACAAGATTAAACCGATCAAATATTGGTTCTGACTGATTCTTGGCCAAATCCAAGTTTTACTTTAAACCAAACCAGCAAAGACATCAACCAATCATCAAACAAGGCAATCCGGTTTTTTTATTACCATGGTTATGATTAGGCTTGAGGCATCTCAATCTGACCCTTGAGCAGCATTTTGGTTTTCAAAAACAATTTTTGTTCTAATTTTGACAGAAAAATTTGTTTCTTAGTACTAGCTTAATGACAATAATGAATTTTTTTAAAGGAAAATTGTTGAAAACCCCCTAAAATATACTTTTTAGACACTCTACCCCCACCCTAAACTTTCATCACTTCTTTTTTCTTAAAAACCATCTTTTCTAACTAATACCCACAACCTAAAAAAATTAGAAATAAAGATAAAACTAACCCCTCTTTTTAACTTCTACATTTAAAAAGGGCATTTATGTAGGTAGTTCGGCATTTTGTGATCGTCGATCTAGCGTTTGCTTAGGCAATCTGTCGTTTTGTGGGCACGGTCTGGCATTTTGTATACTGTAAGATGCAGTTGTCCGGCAGTGTATGTGCGCAGTCCGGCGATATGTTTACTGTAAATGTGGGCAGTTCGATGATTTGAAGTAATGCTCCGACAATTTACTTACTGGAATGGGGTCAGTCTGGCGTTTACAATATGCAATCTGGCATGTGTTTCTGGAATAATGTTAAGCCCGGCATTTCACAGCTTCGCTTTGGCGTGATGATCCATTTATTCGACACTGGGAGGATGCAGTCTGGCAATATCTTACTCACTGAAAATATCTCAAAAGCAATAAATTTTGGCTGCACATTTTATATATGATAACTAAGAGTGATCATGACCTTTCTACGTGAAAAATAAATGATCTCATTGTCAAGAGCAATTATTTCACATTTCTTAAAGGCTTTACCCTCATAATCCACGATGATTTCTATTTTCATGATTTTTTTTATCAAAATTTAGGTTTAAATCTATTTTTTTAATCTTTTTTTTAGGTAATTTAGTGGAAAAGACATACTCCTACTATTTTTCTACCCGTATATTCAAGTAAATAAGAGTTCGATTTTTTTAAAAATATTAATAAAATCATGTCAATAAGAATGAAAACCACAAATTAAGATGTGGTACAATCACCCCGACCCTGTCCCTTATCCAAATCCGATTTATTAAAGTGCACCAATCCCATAAATGTTCAACGAAGGGCTTTATCGTAATTTTTTATAATATTTGGCCTCCTAACTAGCCACATGGCATAGCATGGCTGGGCAACACATCTTATAACTAGTTCTCGCCATCAAGATACATGTGCACTTTCGTATCCAAGAAGTTTTGACGGCTAGATCACGGCGATTTTCCCCATATTAGATCTAGGCTGTCCAATCAAAGGGGAGGTATCAAAAGTTGCTGCTTGCACGTGGATGTCAGCATGTGACGCCCTGAGACAAAAGACCTTTTCCAAAAAAGATGATATGACAAAATGGTCACAATCTCATCCCGCACTCCTCACCATTGGATATGAGATTGAATGGTTTAGGGGGTGTCATTTCTCTGCATAGAGTTAAAAAAAAAAAATTTCAAAATTTTTAGTATTTAAGGAGGCTACTTATAAGTGATTACAATTAATCTTTACTATTAGATGTAAATTTGATGGTTGCAGTTATTCCATTGATCAAGCTTAAATTTCAAAATAAAATTTATCGAACTTTATAACACGTCCAAGCTATCAGATTTCGCATCAGATGGTTGTAGTAATTGTGACCTCTTTATATATAAATAGTCTCATTGTATACAATCCTTTTAGTATAATAGTACACCTCTAACTACCCTTCCCATTTTGCAATGAGCACGTAAACTACCCTCATTTGGGAACATAGTTTATTTCCACTTTGATTAAAAGTTTTACTTGGGAGGATTTTTTCATTCTAAAATTTTGGGAACTACCATCTAAAAAATTAGATACTCTCTATTCAATCTCAAGATATTATTTTTTTAAGTGTGTAGATGATACAATTAAGAAATTTTTTTTTATTGAGGTTATATTATTGAATGAAGAGGTTACATCCCCAAAATTGGGGTCCTAAAATTAATTATAGGTGGGATTTTACTTGAGGAGTAAATGACATCCTACTTCCACAGCAATTGTTTGGCTAATAGTCTTCGTAAATAGTCTTACTACATACTTTCCACATTAAAAAAAGTATATAAAAGTTACAAATAAAAATATATATATATATATACTATTTACTTTTGATACAAAGTGACCACAAATAATCCTGACCATTAGATGTAAAATTGGGTGGTTGCATTTATTCTATTAACCAAGCTCAAAGTTAAAAAAATAATAATAATCAAACTTTGTGACTTAACCAAACTATAAGATTTCACATCGGATGACCATAAGTATTTGTAACCTTATTATATCAAAGGTAAACGGTGTCATTGTATACAATCCCCAGAAAAGCAATATGGTAACAAGGTCATCACCATACTGTAAACAAGGTGGAAAAATGATGTACGATATCAAAGTAACAACTTTTTTATAAAAGAATAGCAACTAAAATAACAGTCGTCATTTCACAAAGGAACACATGCCATCATAGTTATCAAGATTGGACTGAATCAATGGTCCAACAGTCAAACCAACAATTAGTACTTTCAACGTTATGATCTAAGTGAAAAAGTCAAGTTTGGTCTATAATTGGTCAAAACCAATTTTTAACCCATCCGCTCAACCAATTTCGATATAGTCAACAGTCCAAATAAAATGTACAACTTGTTTTCTTCTTACGATTATAAATATTTAAACTGTTATTTATATCTTTTTAATATTTTTAAAATTTTGTCAAACCAATTGATAGTTATACTAGTTTTGGCTGGATCAAACCTCGTCAAGATGACCAATTTTTTATAATAAAAGATATCTAAAGGGACATGAGATCAAATCCATCAAACACGGTCCAATATAAGTAAAGAAGAAGTTTATATAAGGTTACAACCTGTAGAATTACATATGCACCTCAAAACTCCATCATCATATAAGTAAAAACATTCATTATTTTGCATAAAAACGAATATTACGTGATCTCCGGTTGTGAGTTCTCAATTATAGTCACAAAATAATCCCTAAGCAATATAAAATAACATTTTCAATTTTTCAATCTATCAATCTCGACGATTGATTTGAGGGTTTTCCATCATAAAAACAACTTTCTCTAGTGGGTTTTTTTTACGTGCACCTTACTCCAGTATAAAGTTTGCACCTTATGTGAATTTTTTCTCATAAATAATGGCCGTTACTATCTCGTGAAAAAACAATAACAACCACGACTTTCCAAGAAGTCCTTATTTGATGAATAACCAATATAAAACCTTCATTTCTCAGTTATTATTTTCCATTTGTTCCGTTATTTTTTCCATTCGTCCCCTTCAACCTATTTATGATTAAACACCGATTTTTCCCTCAAACGTTTTACCACAAACGAAACAGCCCCAAGCACTTTTGTTGGACCCACTCTCCAACCATTACCTTTCAAACCCAATAATGCCACGGTGATTGCCCCTTTTGCACGCACTGTTCCCAGTCATACGGCACTAGTATAAATCCCTATGAAAAAAACAATCAAAATAATAAAGGGTGTGATTTTTATAAGCTTGCAATCTTAAACAATCCAATTAAGATACACCTCCAAATTTTATCATAACATGTAATTTCGATGTAAAAAATTCTTAAAATTATCTCAAAATCTATTTTCATATCTAATTATAAAATTTTAAATTTCAAAAGTGATTAAAATCAAGTAGATTTATAAACTTATGAAAATATTGAAAATTAACAGTCTCGATAATAAGTTGCAAGATTCACTATTTTTTAGACTTTCATACATCTCGATGTCGAGATTATCAAAGTTTTTCAACATTAAAACAACTTTTTTCTGATTGATTTTTGAAGTACTTTTATAATTCTACATTTTAAAGTTACAACCTTATATAAACTTTTCCATAAATAAAATTGAATGGTCTACAAGGCACCATTTATTTTTTGTACATGAATGTCACAATCATTCCTACTCATTTGATGTGAAATTGGATGACTTGAAAGTAGCACGAAAGCCAATAATTATTTTTTTTAGAAACTTTGTGACTATTGATACTCTTATTACAACCATCCATTTTAAAATTTAAAAGACATGAATGATCGTGACATTCATGTACAAAAGATAAATAGTCTCTTTGTAATCAATCTCATGAAAAACGTTGAAAAGCTGAAACACGATGAACATGCCCACCACATAATTGTGGAAATCATTTTTTTTTTTGTTAAAGAAAAAAGAAAACCTAATCATTGTGGCAATTATTAAAAAAGAAAACCTAATAGCCACCAACCCCAGACATAGGATCCATGAATAAATGGTCCAGATCCCATGTCAACTGAACCAGATACTCCATACTCAGAATAACCCATCCAAAAAATTGGGACCCTACATTCCAAACTCAATAATGCAAGTGAAGTACATGAAGAATTTCAAGGCAAACAAGATTAATAAGCAAAACTAAAGATTCAACCAAAATACAGGAGAAATAAGAAAGAAAGTTAAGACTGGCATACATTTTCTTGAGGTTTAAAGCATGAGTGATACATTAATGTCACAGATACGTCATTCTTGAAATATCGCGTGTCGACATATTTCGACACTTGGACAGATGTTCACACTTGCACACCTTGTCATCACTTTCCAAATCACTTCCAAACAAGAGAATAAAAATGTAGGGAACACAAGGCTGGAGTTTGAACCCAAGAGTTTGCTACTACGCCAACCATATCAAACTGTAATAAATATGAAGTATTTATCATTTGCACATTAGCTTTTCTAGCCAAAGAACTAGACCTAGACCACATCGAATTTGGACAAACATGTCTGTTTTTCTAGGTAACATAGTAACTAGGGGAAAAATACATTTACTGGACAGGAAGCCAACCCGAGAAGAACAAGATTTGCAACAAAAAGCCTCGCCTATAATTCGTTCTTCCTTGTTTGTTCTCTGGAGCAATCTCTCGTAGCTTCGCTTTCTCATGTGTAAATATATGTGTGTGTGTGAGAGAGAGAGAGGTCTTACAAGGCATCCTCCATGGTGTGATCATTATCATTATCACCATCATAATACTCGTCCTCCCGTTGAATTTGCTTGTCTTCAGTATGCTCTGTAAATAAAACCATTCTTTTTAGTATTTGAAGATTAATCAGGTTATGACGGAAGAGGAATTACATTAACTGCAATCTCAATGTATGATTATTTCACTATTATGCTTATGCTCTAAAAAAAATTTGATGTAGCGAATTCACATTGCAATTACTCCAGAGAAAGGATGGAACTAATAGCAACTGGTGCTTGAAGTAAAAAGAAAAGAGAAAAACAAAAATCCAGCACAAAATCACTGGTATTCGGGTGAAAGACTTCCAACTTCTTTCATCCTCCTTAACAACAAAGAAAAATATGGCATGTTTAAGGGGAGTCAAAGAAAGCCATAAGTGGTCATCAATAAGGTCATGTCCATTTCTTATGCGCATCAAAAACATCAGCCTGATGCGCTTGCACTAAAGTAAAGTTTACCAAAGGCCCTAATGTTGGGATATATGGTACACCAGGCGGCATCTATATTGTATGGATATGGGTACATGTGTCCATTATTTTCGGCTGGATGAGGCATTATGCAGTCTCATAATGCATTATTTGGCCTGGAGCGCATTGCTCCCCGCATATGCAGGATATGGTGATGCGCCGGCTCATCACCTACTAGTGCATCACATGAGGTGCGATGCACATGCATATGTGGCCCACTGCTAGTGGGTAGAAAATCCCTGTAAGCAACGACATTTTAGGTAATTTTATCCCCTAAAAAAGGGAGAAAGGATCATATGAAAACCCAAAAAACTTAAGAGCATATTTACATGGTTCTATGGGGATTAAAAATAATAAACTAGTAACCGATTTTTTTTTCTTGAAGCTTTTGAAGAAACTACGGGAATCTTTTATACCACTTGAGATTATTTTGGGATTTGTTTGAAGTTATTTGGGAGATGATTCACCATGCATATGATGGATCACTGTATGACTTGCCTGATTGAACATTAAGAGTCATTGGGTGTATTGATTACATTTTTATTTTATACATCATAAACTTTTGGCCTTTGCAGTTTAAACTTTGAAGTTTGGATGTTTGTAGTATGTACCTGTGATTGTAAACAATGAAGTACTTTCGATCACTGGATGTTATGTCCATGACTACTTGATTTTCGATTTTAATTTTATTTATCTAATTTAGTGAATGAGATAGAATGGATGACATTATTTTACATGCTGAAGTATTAGACATTTAGACCACTAGATAATAGTGAACAAACTCCGTTACTATTTATCAGGCTATCCAGGAGCTCAGACAACTAATATATTAAGTGCTAATGCCTACTTTCACATAAATCAAACATTTATGTTTTTTATGCATTCTTATACACTATGATTTTTTATTTTTTAAAATTTATTGACATCAGAGGTGATCCTCCCGCATCGGGACTGCATTGTAGCAGCACAGCGAATCGGACCCCCACAGGTATCGACATTAGATCCCGCATTTGAAAACAGTGTATGTGTGTGTGTCAGTATTTCACATCATCACATGATACAGGATGTTAGAAATCTCATGCCATGAAGAGGAGGATTCAATAACATGGCTATATTATGAGTAGCAAGAGATGTTTCACTCATGTTCCATGACTTCCATGTATCGATCAGTAGCAAGAAATAATCAATTATAACTTAATTGGCTGAATCCACATATATTAGCTATGTTCTGTAGGCATTTCAAGTTCAAATATGCCTACTCAAAACTAAAAAGATCAGGTCCCCATAATGAAGTAATCAATGGCAGATGGTTAATAAATAAGAATATGCCTCAACATGTGTGTTGTTACATGTGTGACACAGGTAGAGCACCCAACCAAAAGATTCCATATAAAATAGCAAGGTATCCACTGTCGATTTCCAATGACAGATGGTGGAGATAAACTGCAGAAAGGTGATGTCCATCATGTGGGAAGTACCATTGATCTCCACCATCCATCATCAGGAATGTCAAGGTGGCGTACCATGCATTGCACACCAGTGGTTTATAGCATAAAAAATGGAAAAAAGAAAGACAGATGGCTGGACTACATTCAAAGGGGAATGTACTTACGGTCAACGCGTTCATCTGGATTCTGCTCATCTTCATCAGAATCTGGGATGTAAAAGTCACGAGGCACCTGCAAAAAATTTTAAATTTTACAACAAATAGACATGGAACTCCAAAGAGTTGCTAAGCCCTGAAATCCTCTTTGAGTGTATTAGACAGAGTTCCTATGACAAGCCCGGTAAGCATTGTGGCCCTCGCTACTAGGATTTCAAGTCTCGAGTGCCACAACTTGATGAGAACTTCTTATCAAAAGGACACTATAGTCTAAGAGACATGGAAAACCACAGTTAGTTGGGTCACCACGGTTCAACGAAATGGAAAGTCGTGTGGAAAGAATGGTAGCCATATGTGGGTTCATATCTCATTCTGGTGGGTTCCAGTGTCCCACTCCACAACCATCCATCATTTGAATGGACCGAGATGAACCCAAAGGACTACAGTCTCCTGTAGCCATTGTGGATTATGGTATAGTTCCCAAAACTCCAATGCATGTCAAAACCCCAAACTCCAGTACAATAACCTAGATCTCTATATGGGCTAGATTCATACTTCTTGCATCTGTACTCCAGGGGCATGCTGGATGCACCGTAAGCTTTCCATGACTTGCACCTTGATTGAACTTAGATAGGATTTGCTATTTAAGTTTTCCTGCTACTTTAAATCAAACATTGAAAAGTGCGAAGGCATTAGAACAGAAGAGAATACCATTGCTCATTGCCAATACAACTATGAAATTTAGCCCACAAGCGAAAAAAAAAAAAAAAACAAAACAAAACAGCATACCACATTTCCATTTTGAATCTTCAAGGAATAATCTGGGCCGAAATATTTTATATAGTCATTATCCGGAATTTCTGCAAAAGGAAAGGCACTTGGCCAACGGATGTCCAGACTGTTAAGGACTAAATGCCATTCCAATAAGAGTAAACCATACTAACTACAAGGCATTAAAAAGAAAAAATTGATCAATAAAAAGACAATGACAAAGCCTATTTTTTACCACATCCTTGTAGAGTACCATGTCCGTGCAGATCTATGCCCAAAATCCTAAACAACAGAGTGCTTAGATAGTTTCAATTTGCTCCCTCCGACAACTAACATCAGTATCATGTTCCATTCCTTCTCCATCTTTTTAATTTGCAGGACAAAATTTCCATTAGCCCTAAAACCTAAAACACTCAAGGCATGTTCGGCTTCACTGAGTACATGTATTATGATTAGCATTAATTGTGACTGAAGGCAAAACAATTCTTTCTTTTTTTTTGTGAGAATGAACGGATAAAACAAGCGGGGTTCAAAAATGGTCATAGGCACATGCCTCATGTCTAGTGGTCCATCCATACTGCGACTGAAGCACTCAAATGGGTAGACTTGCGCACTTTTGTGAGTAACACCACCAGTCAGCAGTACGGCTCTTCGTTAATAGAGAAATGCATGCTAATTTCAAGCTAATAACATTTGATTACAGCTTAAGACAGGAGACGGAGGTTAAACCACATCATTCTCAGTTTAGTTACAAAACTAAACATCATATAGAAATCCTTCGGGTGTACCTAAGATGGGAGTTTGCCACTAGCCTCAGATTAACAGGGCCAAATCCAAATTAATGGGTGCCATCGAACATTCCCAACCCCAAAACCTTGGCTGTTATCCTAGGCTCTCGGGTAGATCACTAACCAACCAAGTATTTAGGACTTGCACTATGCATTGGCAAGCCAAAAGAACAGTCGTGGGATCCCATTGCGGAAAATTAGACCATAAGTTAGCAGGGTGGAAGGGTAGGTTCCTCTTGAGGTCGGGCCATCTAACTCTCATCAAGGCCATACTCTCCAATGTTCCCATCTACCAAATGTCGCTTTTTCAGATCCATTTTTTCGGTTGCTGCCCATCTGGAGCAAAAGATGCAAAACTTCCCGTGGTCAGTGAGAGTGACAAGCACAAACTCCACCTCCTAGCATGGGATAAGGTCCAGTTACCTAAAAAACAGGGTGGACTAGGCATCAGGTGTTCCCTTGGCAATAAAGCCCTGCTCTTGGTAAATGGTGGTAACGATTTGGCACTCAACATAATCATCTATGGCAGCAAGTATTATGGCAGAAATAACCTCTTTCTGGGCTGCCAAGTGGACCCCCAAAAGGTAGATTATCAGGGGTGTGGCGTTCGCTACTGTCCTCTTCAGACCAATTCTGATCAAATATTCAGTTCAGAGTAAGATCGGCCACTAGAGTGAAATTTTGGACGGACCTGTCGATAGGAAACTCTAACCTGAGGGAAAGGTTCAACAATCTCTACCTGCTGGCCAGGGACAGGGATGCTTGGGTTGTGGATCTCTTTGAAATATTGGGAGAGGAAAGGGCGTGGAGCCCAAACTTCCTTTATTCCAGTCCCTCCTTTGCACCATACAAGATACATACCTACCCAGGGAAGGGGTCGACACTATCATTTGGATGCCCACACCATCTGGTAAGTACTCGGTTTCATCCTACTACACCAAGCTCCTTGTACCCCTACATCTCCTTCTGCTGCTTCCCATGCTTGGATTCCTGCTATCCCCCCTAAAACCCAAGTTTCTGCTGGTTGGAGGTTTCCGAGAGGGTCCTCACGATTGACCAATTGCACACCTATTCCTAATAAATGCACAATGTGCAAAGCTGCAGAGGAAACCAATGAGCACCTCTTTTTTTACTGTGAATGGGCTTCCCACATCTGGGCCTATCACCTCCACCTCTTCAAATTGCATTGGACCACGCCTTCCTCCATCCCACAATTGTTTCGAAGCTTCTGGTTTCCCACTGCCCTGGCCTGCTGCAGGATGGTTTATTTGGAGAGCAGCAACAGCAGCAACTGTGGACAATCTGGGTGGAAAGGTAGCAACAGCAGCCTAAGAATTTTCGAGGGTAAAGAAAACTCAGCCACAACCACAATGGATCGGATCAAGGCTATAGTATTCATTGGGGCCACAAACTGTAAAAAGTTTAGACACTACCAATAACTTTCTCCAAGACTAGCAGGCCAATTTGGAAACTGTGCCCACCAACATCCCTCGATCCTCAGTTTGGCTCCAGCCAAAACCTGGTTCTCTCAAGCTCAATTTCGGTTGTTGTTCCCTTGGCAACCCAGGTCCGGTGGGTTCTGGTGGCCTTTTCAGAGATCACAGAGGTGACATGCTCCTATCCTACCCTGGGCTCATTCACAAGATGGATTCCACTACTGCTGAGGCTATAGAAGGATCCGAATGGCTATGATGGACACGTTTTATTGTTTGGTAGTGGAAGGGAATTCCAAAAACATCATATCGTGGGAAAAGATGGATTCCTCATGACCTTGGCAACTCAAACACATTTTGACCAAATTTTCGACCTTTCCAGGCATATGTATATTTATTTCAATATGTGGCATGTAGCAAACCACATTGCTGATAACCTCACTAAAACTGGAGTAGTTCTGGTTCAGCAATAGATACTCCAACCAGCGGGACCTCTTTGGCAATTTTTTGAGCTCAAGTCCTACTTTATGTTTTTTGGACTGCCATCTCCTTTCTGTTTACTGTATTGTACAGGGTTTATCACCCTTTTTTTAAAAAAAAAAATGATAACTACATTAAAAAAGGGGTTTATCACCCATTTTTGTAAAGGTTAAGTTAGAAAAGTTTTTTTTTTTGGAAGCTGTAACGAGCACCCATCCCTATGGGCTGTCTGATCCTTCTTGTAACTCTTTCACACTCAACACAATAGGTTAACAATTAAAATATATAAATAAATATTCCAGTAGTAACAAATTCAAATCATAATTTACAGAATTTCACTTGCCCAAAAATATCATCGACAATAAATTATAAATACTATACCATTTGGAAGCTCTGTATCCAGAAGAACCCCTGTTTCAACAGTCCAACAACGAGCCACATTCTCTTTTGTGTAGCCTCCACCTCCAGTAACCTGCAATAAACATGAGTTTCTGGCTAAAATGCATGATGTTTGCCAAGTTCCAAAAAGATTGCATTTTTGTGAACATAACTCACCAACAGCGGCAAATTGAATTTCTTCACAAATCTTACACATTCAGAGTGCCCTAACATCAGCAAGACCTAGTTAGGAAGAAACGAAATTCAAGCTAACAATATGAGACTGTCTAACAAAAGCAATGTATTCACTATTGTGCAACTGAAAATTTCTAGAAAATAACTACCAAACCAATTATTTTTTGTGTCATTTGATAAACATTTGGTTTTTCAAACTGACAAAGAATAGATGATCCAAAAGAGTATGGTATACAACAGCCTGTGGAAGGGGCATCCACTATACCTTCCTGATGATGGACAGTGGAGACCAACTGTACCTGGTGTGTGTCTCTGAGGCCCCCAATATGGTCAATCTCCACCATCCTTTATCTGGAGTGGATGGTGGACAACCCCTCGGCATATTGTACGACATACTCAATTGAATTATGGCATACTTTCCATTTCAACTTGGAGAAAAACTGATGCATAAGTCACAATTACGGGGAGACTAGCACCATCAATGGAAAGGTTGAAGCAGCCTAGGCGATCCCCAGCAAGAGAATCAGCTCCACATTGGAGAACTATAGCACCAGGTTGATATGTTTCAAGAACCTTGGCTATAATCTACATCAATACATGTTATAAGAAGTTAGTCACGAAATAAAATAAATAAATCACCAATAATTCAAGGACTTATGATGATCCATATAATAGCATGAGAACCAAGCATGGCATTAGAGTAAAATCACAAAAATTGGTTTTCTGGAAGCTGAACAAACACTCACCGTTTTAAAAAGACGAGTAAAACTGGCATCATCTATTCCATCCTTGAGAGGGACATTTATGGCATAGTACTTTCCTTCTCTTTCTCCTATAGCCTTCAAAACACAGACAAGATTTTACCAACTTGCTAATAATAAAAAAAAGAAACAAAGCCTACTGGGACCAATTCCCATAATATAATTTATTTCACCATTTCCCATAAAATAGACTATTTTCCGACTTTTTATGATATCATAAAGAGGGGAAAACCAAATTGAAAATAGACAATGATTGTTTTAACAAGGCTTAACATTCATCTTTCCTCTTGAGACCCATTCCTTCTCTCAAACCTTTTAGAGGTTGTTTTCTCATAGTACTATAGTTGTTAGACAGTTGGATAGTAGGATAAAAGTCATGGAGAAACCAAGCAAAGAAAAAAGTACAGATCAAGGTTAGATTACACTTCATGCAGCACGCACGTGCATTGTAACAACATATGTAAAACCTCAAGTCTTTGAAATGAACTCAATAATTTTGAGGGCAAACTGCAATCACATGGATAAAGTGAAGTCCTATGAGGAGGAAGAAGAAACAAAACTGTTTCCCTGAGAGACCATCAGAAACGCGCCAAGAAATTTTTAAACTAAGGAAATGAATAGAGAACAACTTCATTACAATAAAGACCATATACAACAGTGACAGAACATACCACAAGCATAATATTCAACCTCTGAAACTTACAGGTTACCATATGATCCAACAAAAACATAATTACCTTAACATCCCCTGTTCCAGGAAAAAACATATCCCCATACTTGTGAAAACTCACAGTCATAACCCTGCCAAATTATCAAATAATCATTACTTTGAGTTCATTCCACAATTTAGTTTGTCTTTAAGCTTGTTGACCAGTATAAAAAAATTTCAATTTTCAGTGGAGATAAAAATAAAGAGTAGGAAAATGAAAAAACCCATACTGAACTCTTCAATAATACAAAAGGGAAAAAAAAATTGAAAACATATGAATACCAAATGCTTATAGATCATAACCAGACAAACCAAGAAAAGAGTGCCAAATAGTTACAATTTCCAAATCAAAACATAGACATGTTGAATATAAGTTGGTATAAAACTACAAGTTTCAGATAGCAACGAGAAAATACCAAGTAGCTAAGAGAAATGTCTACTAACATTTGAGAAAGCAAATGTCAAATCAGTGTAAACGGAAGAGTCAGGCAATCAAACACAAGAGGATTGTATGTGAGACATACAAAAAGCTCAACTACAATAAAAATACCAGGCACCAACGTGCAGCATTACCTATCTGTAAAATAAAAGGCTTCTTCAACCCCATCCCCATGATGGACATCGATGTCAATATACAACACTCGAGTATGATGTTTGAGAAGCTCCAAAATACCCAAAACCAGATCATTGATATAACAAAAACCTGACGCCTCACACTTTTTGGCATGATGTAGCCCACCCGCCCAATTTATAGCTATATCACATTGTTTACTATTCAACTTGCGTGCAGCATCTGCAAGAAGCAGAAACCGAGATTATCTACAAGAGATTATCTCTAGTTAACAAGATACTACTGCTAAATACAAATCACAACACCAGTCAAATATTACCTAAAGTGCCACCAGCATATATCTGACAGAACTCAAACAAGTTCTCAAACACAGGGCAGTCCTCACCAAGATTATCTACACACAAAAAACATTGTCAGTAAAAAGGCCTTTTAAATAGAAAAATTCAACAAATACAATAACAGATTAAAAATATTATGTCAGTAAAAAGGCCTTTAGGTAGCAAAAGTCAACATGTAGATAAAACATAAAAAACTTGTTTTCAGGTAGTTAAATGGCAAGAATAGAAATTATGACATAGTGTATCTAAAATAAAGTGATTATTGTATAAAAAAATGAGTACAGTAATAGAAAATGGATAGATTGAATTGTTCAGAACTTAAGTCACATGAAACTCAAAGTTCGACAGAACATACTAGAACTGATTATAGTAAGAATCATTACTGCTCACGCACCGCTCCTTTTCTAATATTACCAGAGAATCTTCATAAGCTAAGCATTGTAAATTACAGTTTAATTAATGTTAGGACAAAAGTTACCATTCAAATACCAAAAACAGGAGCAAGCTTCATGTGTTATGTAACATACATCTCACTAGCTCTTTTGCATACAGATGTTGGGTATCAGGTGTTATTCGGTGCAAGAACTCCACATAATCAGCCGAGTGAAACTGAGCAAGCTCCTGAGGATATGCCTTGTGTGGTCGCTGCATCCATGAGAAAAAACCCATTAGATAATACAAGAAAGATATCCATGCATATCAAAGTTCCAAACATTCCTCAAATACAACAAGATATAGATCCAAACTCCAGCTGTCCCTTAATTAAGAAGAAAAGAAAACAAGAAGCAAATTTTAGTTGTCACCAACATATATCTCCATCTTCTTTTGCAGCTCATAAGAGAGAACAAGTTGGTATGTCATGCAAAGTCGGTGTGGCTTCATAGGATGATTTGGACCAAAATAAACATTCCCAACATCTCCTACATGATCCAAACCAGCGATCAATCTTGGCAGGGTAAGTTATGCATTTTTGCATGAGTAGAAATAAAAAAATGAAAAAAAATATAATACCATCCTTGGACCATGATAAATGGTACTTCAAGGCTAAATCCACCATCCTTTCTCACTAATGGACCATTAGATATTTACTTAAGTGGGGCCTCACAGGGCCAGCACCTAGGTAAAATTCAAATTCATCTTCAATCATCTAACTCAATGAAAGCCGCCTTGAAGTACCATATATTATAGTCCATTGCTATTTAAAAAAAAATTCACAGTATCCCTATCTAGTAAAATGAATCATCCATGCTTGGAAGAAAGCTATGTTTCAGTAACAGTTATCGAAAATTCGGCTGCCCAGCCGCCTAGGCAGCCAATCGCCTAGAAAGCCTAGGCGGGGCACCTAGGTGGCTTGAGTCAAGGCACCCACCTAAGCGGGTAAGGCGCTGCCTAGGTGCTAAAAATGCCATTGGTTATGGTCAAAATAGTAACTCCCCCCTCCCCTAAAGGGGGAAAAGGGTTTTGGGGGACATTCTAACCCCCAAAACCAAATCTGTGTCATCTAAAGCGAGAAAAAATTCCCAAAGACCTCTCTTTTGTTATTTATCGAAAGATCGATAAATTTTTTATTTTTACGATTTCTTCCAAAATCAAAGGCAATGTTTTGTGTTAGTTTTCGGAGCTTCTAGTGGTCAATAGTGAGGACTTTTGGCAATCACATGGACGAGGATTGGGCCGACATTGTTTTCATTTGATTTTCTTAGAGAATTATGCCATTATGAGTATTTTTGCTATAACATATTATGTGTTGAAACATTTGATTTTCTTTTTTTAATTTTTTTTTTCCTTTTATGATATATTTACATGTTTTAGTTGAAAGATTGATTTTTTTTTTTCTGTGCTTAATTGATTGTTAACTTGTTTGGACGATGAAATTGGTCCTATATTGAATTATTTTATGAATAATTGGTTCTTATTTTGTACAATGTGTGATGCTTTTATATCCTATTAGTTTTGTTTCACTTTTTTGATATTTTTACATATTTGTAGATGGAACATTTAACGATTTGGTCTTATATTTTGTGAATAGTCATAGACTTTTGATGAAATTGATATTTTGTGAATATTTGATATCCAAAACCAAATCTTATGGATATTAATTAATAAATAATAATTATATTATAATTTTTTTCTTAATTAAAGGTCGCCTAGGCGGCCAGGCCCCCAAAATGCCTAGGCGGGCGCCTAGGCCTTTTTGAACACTGGTAACAAATCTCAAGAAATGCACATCAAATTACTTTGTGCAATAAAAAACTAAAGAATGACCACTACAGAGAACTGCTGGAACCATATTCTAATAATTGTACTTATGCAGGTGAGAGAAATTAAAAGGATGATATCAACCGACTAAAAAGGAAGAACCAATTATATACACAAGAAAAGAAGGAAATCCCAAATTTCATTGGAGTGGGGATAGTGGAAGAGAATGTCATGAGCCCTCTTAAAAGGACAAAGAAATACTTGTCAACATCCTGATGACTGAGAAGGTCAGTTGTAAAAAAACCAAAATAAAAAGAAGGAAAACAATTGCAAATAACGGGCTCTTTGGAATTAGAACTGGGTAGAAAGTTTGCAACCACAATGCTTTTAAGCTTCGACATAAACCATAAAAAACCCAGTTTCAATGAAACACCCCTAAACTGACTGCTTCTACAATAATGGATGTTCTCTAAGGAAATTGAAGATGTTAAAACTGATTAGATCTAGTGCCCTTTGAGGAACTCATAAACATATAAACATAATCGAACAATTAGAGAAATCTATATAAATGAAGGGGGAGGTAACATGCTAAATATTTCAGGACTGTTTAGGCACGCCAAAATCCATTGAGATCCAATACATTCATTCTTCAAAAATAAGCATTCCATTCATTGTAATCAGAAGCATTCCATTCATTTTCTGATTACATAACCAGAAAATTCAATTTTTATCCATGTAAACTTAACTATTTGTCCATTTATTCAATAAATAGGCCCAGACAAATTGAAAAAAGTAAACAAAGGATCAAGTCCAGTAGAAGATCTCCATTAAAACTTTCACCGTATTTCCTGAAGGATGAAAAGGAGATAACTATTTATAGAAGATGGGGACTAGCACTTGCAAGCCCACTTGAGTGGCATGCAGCGAAGACCTCATGTACATGGAGCAGATAGAAAGTATATAGTGAGATCAGTGTAATTCTAATCTTTTTACTTCCATTTCACCTATTAATACAACGGTTCGGGACCACCTCAAACCCTCGAGAGTTTAGGAAAAAATATATTTCGTAAACATCATTCCTGCTAATTTCACTTGTAAGAAGCTCTGAACTAGTTTTTCAAGGTACAGTTGCAATGGGAAATAATACAGATGCATTATTCTACGACCCTTGGCCAAAAAATTCAGGTTTGAAAAGATTGGAGTCTGAGTGAAAATCTTTCCAGTTAGTATCAAAACCCAACCATTAATGCCAAGAAACCCCAAATTCTGGATTAATCAGAAGAAGAAGATTGCAAATGATTTTATCCAAATCCTTACTATCACATTCGAAACTCTCGAAATTAGGGATTTTCGGAAACAACCCAACTCTAACCTTCAATTCTTCAATTCTAAGAAATAGGGTTTCACCAACATTTTGAGCTGTTTCATTGGAAAAAGATAGCAAAAATTAAAACTGAACTCCCTTGTTAGGGTTTCAGAAAAAAAAAAAACCGTATCAAAATTAGGTTTTCAGCAAAAAAAGAAAGAACGCAAACCATCTTTTTCAGTTGTCAAATTAGGGTTTCAAAGATGGGCTTACCGTCATAGAAAAAAGCGACTTTGTCCTTCGACGGCATCTCTGATGAAGAACTAACAAAAACTTAGAGTTGGAGGCATTAGAGCACAGAAGCGAGCGCAGCTGTGGACAATATTTCGGTAATATTTCAGGATTTCGGAATATTTTCAGTGGATTTCGGCCTCCCGCGAACTTCAGGGGAAAATGCAGCGAGAGCTCGTCAAGGAGCACTTTGTGTGGTGCTCCCGCATGAGCATTTTATAAACTTACTCCCTCAATTTTTGCACTTCCTCTTGCAAACACCATGTCAAAAAGTGCGACTCGGACCGAGCTGGCCCAAGCCGATTAGTCGGGCTGAGTTCGAGTAACTTAGTATCGATTAATGTAGCAGCAAAATAAATTCAAAAATTATAAACAATCTAAATAAAAGAAAAAAAGCAAATTTATGTTGAAAGTAAGATTAATTTCTAAAGCTTTAAATTTTATAATTAAAGATGAAAAACTATTTTTGAAGCTTTAAATTTTATAATTAAAAATGAAAAATATATTTTAAGGCTATCACAAAGATTTTCAGTATTGAAACCACATTTCTCGACACTATTTGAAAGTGTGTTTTAATTTGATTGTTCTGAGCCTTGACTCCATATAAACCGCACCCTTAATCAGAGGATGTGGTTTATATAAGGCCCTTGAACAAGTTAAGTAGGGCCCACTTTTAAATAGTATTGAAAGATGTTGTTTTAGTACCAAAATCTTGGTGATGTTTTAAAATTCATTTTTATCTCTAATTAAAAATTTAAAGCTTAAAAAATAATGTAGATCGAGTAGATCATTGAATACTTGAAAATCTTGAAAATCGACATTCCATAACATGCATTACAAGATGCACTACTTTCAAGATGTGAAATCTTTTTTTTTTTTCGTGTCCATGCATCTCGAAGTTGAGATAATCGATTTGAGCATATTTTGGCATCAAAACCGCCTCTTCTAGTAATTTTTTGAAGTGTGCTTTGATTTGATTGTTTAGGGCCCTACCCTTATATAACTTTTTTTCTTAAGTAAAACACTTCTAAATGATGTTAAAAAGTAGTAAAAAAATAAATTAAAAAAACCGACTTGGGGTATTTTTAAAGCAATCCAAAAAAGACAGAAAAAATGTAAAAATCAATATTTATGGCCAAAACACTTCTCAATCTTTGGACACCCAACTTGGGACAGCTAGAGCTTAGCAAGGGCCTGAGTTGGAAGGACTTTAATAGGATTGTACAATATGAAGCTATTTATCTTAGGTAGAAGGAGGTCACAATTACGTTGACCATTCGATGTGCAATCTGGTAGCTTGGATGATTCGAAAAAAATAATTTTTAACTTTGACCCTAATCAACGGAACAATTACAACTAACAAAATTTACATAATGATCAAGAGCAATTCTTATCTTCATGTATCAAATATGAATAGTCTTATTGTATATTTTCTTACTTATATTTATTGATTTTTTTTTTGACAAATTTAATTATTTTTATTCATTCATCAAAGTACTAAAAAATTAAGAAAAATTACAAATAACTCCCAAGGCTAGACTTTTTATAGAAGTTACCCCCAATCAAATTTATTTCTCACTTTTTTCCCCAAAATATATTTTTTTAGCAAATACCCCCAAGTAAATAAAGGTCACCCTTTTTTGTGCATAAAAAATTAATTTTAGCCGGACATTCATGTGGGCTTACATGGGCTGCCGGACTGCTCTTTGACATTACCTGATCTTGTTAAACTAAAAAAAGTGTCGGACCGCTCTTTGACATTATTGGATTGCTCTTTGGCCTGTTGCCGAACCGCAAGGACATGTTGCCAGACCGCATGGGCCTATTGTCAAACTGTGTTTTGTCAGTGCTGGACCGCCACTTGTACTGCCAGACCACCACTGTTATTTACTAGACTGACATATACTGCCGATCTACCGTAAGAATATGCTGGACCGTTGTTTCATGGGAAAGAGGAGAGAGAGGCATGGTAAAAGTAAGGGATGGTAGTTTAAGCTTTTTTTTTTTTATTTGGGTTGGGGGTATTTGCTAAGAAAGTATATTTTGGGGTAAAAAGTGAGGAAAAGTTTGGTTGGCGGTAACTTACATTGAAAGCCTAGTATTGGGGGTTATTTGTAATTTTAACAAAGGATTGGACGTACAAAATTCTTCTTAAAATAATTTGTAGAAAAAAATGAAAAATAAAATAGTGTAGATGCGTGACATTGTGATTGGAGCAATCTTAGCCCTCCATTCAGAATGGACTGTTGGATAAAGGAAAGTATATAAATTTTATGTTGTAAGGGAAGCATAGAAAACTTGCAATGGGAAAGGTTTCTATACTTCTCCTACAGCATAGAAGTTCTATGCTTCCTCGACCATCCAGCCGTCCAATTTTGATCAAGAGAGTCACTCACCATTTGATCTTAGATCCGACATCTCAAAGTATTTTATTTTTAGTTTTTTTTATACAAATTGTACGAATATGAAATTTGGTATGTGTCATCTTCTCATTGAAGTACACCTATAAAAAGTGTTAAAATTAATTTTTCGATTAAATATTATGATCAAAATACCCCTTGAAACATTCAGGGGTAGTTTGGTCATTTTATTTTATTAAAAATATTTTTTTTTATATTTTTCGCTAGTGTGACTTTAACATAGGATTGGATGTACAAAATTTTGTGTTAAAATAATTTGTATAAAAAAAATTAAAAATAAAATAGCATAGAGACATGACATTGTGATTGGGGCAATCTTAGCCCTCCATTCAGAATAGACGATTGGATAAGGGGAAATACATAAGTTTTATGTTGTAGAGGAAGCATAGAAAGCTTGTTCAAAAAACAATCAAAGAGTAGAGAGAGGACCCCAAATTGGAGGTAAGCTGATCAAAACTTCAAAAAATATTGTTTTTATTATTATTTTTAAATCTCACATGAAAAAATAATGTATCAAGATTGAACAAAGACCATTCAATATACTGAGGATAAGATCTAAATGTTAGAGAAATTGAAATTGAAATTTATATTTTTTCAAATAATGATATAGTGATTCTTAAGTGATTATGAAAATTTCAGATTGAAAGAAATCATCCCACGTAAATCATCTGCCATGGGAGTAGGTGTATAGTATATGCTGTAGGAGCATGGTGTATGCATTTGGATGAAGTAAAATGAAAGACGCAAATGATTCAAAATATATGGTTGTAATATTTAAAATGTCATTTATTTTTCAAATTCTTGATCTTTATGGTCGAGATAAGTGGCCCCTAAAATTTTTGGATCTAAAATATATCTACGAAAATGGTTTGATAGGGCTGCAGCTCAATCAAAATAAATAAACCTCACCTCAAAACTCACAAAAAAAAAAAACGGTCTTTTGACATTGAAAAACTTCTCAGATTGATCATCTCATCCTTAACATTATTATTGTGAAAAAGAAAATCGAATTTCAAGCCTTAAGAAAGTGTATATTGAAACCAATTATCTAGACTATCTAAATCGCTTTAAAAACAAGCGTTTACATATGCATAAAATCTTATAATTTTTTTAGCTTCAAATTTTATGGTCAATATTGGAAGTTTGTTTTAGAATCATCATAAAGATTTCTGATACCTAAAATACATTTCATATTAGGATTCGAAGTAGCCTCAAAATTTTCAGTCATTTTTTATTTTAGAGTCGTCATAAAGATTTCTGATATCTAAAATACTTTCCACATTAGGATTTGAAGTGAGGCTTTACTTTGTTTTCATAAAGCTTAGGCCCTATACAAACTTCATTGGCATTTATTCGTCTCTCTACCCGTTGGGTTCCTGAGTTTTCCTTACAATTGATTAATCTCTCTCTATTCCGTGCCGTAGCAAAGCACTCTGCAACTGATTCTTGTATGTCGGAGCCTATTTATTTGCTGAAACACTGATCGTGGCTTCAACTGCAAATGAAGAATTATTTGTTCTTGACTTAACCGATTTGACCATCATTAAGGAAAGAGCGATTTCTCATGAAGCGATTGATGTTTGTTTTGCAGAGGCGATCAAGTGGGACCATCCTCTCATTTACATATGAGAATTCAAGCTCCTCGTACCAGGTGATTTCATTTAAGTTTAATTGGCGAGCATTTGTGTGGAACATGTGATTTAAGAACTATTCTTTGCTTTTTATCTTTTCTTTTGCAGATTTATGCAGGAATCGTCATATTTTCAAGCTCTTCTTGGTGGAAGCTTCAAGTGAATTGTTTTCGACGCATAATTAGCACAATCATAAAACTCCATGATGCATCTTGTGTGAGGATTGTTGTGGTGGTGAGGTTTTGTAAAAGATCGGTAAGTCTTTTCTTCATGTCATGAAATCTTGCAGTGAATCGAATCTAAGTCATATTTCAATCCAATGCAACATGATAGACAGTGATGATATATTTATGGCTGCCCATTTGAAGTTACTTTCGAAAGTTTCCCTCTTTTGGATGCAAGTTCTTATCAATTTTCATAATATTTTCGGTCATTTCTTTTCTTGTTGAGTCACATCCATTTAATCCGGTATTCACTCGTTGTTATAAGTTACTAGTGTTTGAACCAATGGTTTAAAAAACGGATCGGTGACCCGGATTGGGTTCTCAAAAAATTGATCCGGATCGACGAATCGGAGATTCGGATCGGGAATCGGGTGAATCGGTCAGAATAAAACTTAAAAAAAATGCGAAAAAATTATTAAAATTCATTATAAATATTGTTTTTTAGGAATTCAATAAGAAATAAGGGTACTCATTAAGAATTTTCATGTTTTTGAATGAATATGCGAATATTGATATGTTCTTTCCCTGCATGAACCGCCATTCAGCATTTAATTTACATTATACAAAAGGATAAACATAGAATTATTATAGAATAAGTATATCAACATACATGGACTGCAATAAAGCATAAAATTAGTAACATATGATCTAAAAATAAAATGATAGACGACGTTATTGTTCTTCTTGGTCACGCTGGTGCCATTGATTGAATTCGTTTAACAATTCATTGATTCGATCTAAAAACGAATCATCGATATTAGCAGGCGTCTGACTGTTCCCAAATCCCTAAGTGTTAGTGTTTTGTTGTGTTCCCAATCTAAAATCTCCGAAGATTGTTCATCCTTCATGCTCACCTGTAATGTCGTGCTCATGCCTACACTGTTGCTGTTGGGACTCGATATGTGAATAATATGGCTGGGATAGAGCGGCCTCAGAATCATTATCTCTCTCATTTTCTCTTTGAATAATATGGATTAAAAAAAAAAATAACAAATTTTCACAAAAATCGATCATGGATTAAAAAAAAAAAATCATAAATTTTCAAAAAAATTTATCATGGATTACAAAAAAAATTTGATCATGGATTAAAAAAAAAAATCACAAATTTTCAAAAAATTCTATCATGGATTACAAAAAAAAATTCGATCATGGATTAAAAAAAAAAAATCACAAATTTTCAAAAAATTCAATCATGGATTACAAAAAATTTGATCATGGATTACATAAAATTCGATCATGGATTACATAAAATTCAATCATGGATTACAAAAAAAACAAACAAAAAAACAAAAAATTCAATCATGGATTACAAAAAAAGAAAAAAACAATTCGATCATGGATTACAAAAAATTCAATCATGGATTACAAAAAACTCTATCATGGGTTACAAAAAAAACAAAAAACAAAAAATTCGATCATGGATTACAAAAAAAAAACAACCATTTTGATCATGGATTACAAAAAAAAAACAAACATTTCGATCATGGATTACCAAACATTCGATCATGGATTACAAAAAATTCTATCATGGGTTACAAAAAAAAACAAAAAATTTGATCAGGGATTAAAAGAAAAAAAACAAACATTTCTATCATGGATTACAAAAAATTCGATCATGGGTTATAAAAAAAACAAAAAACAAAAAATTCGATCATGGATTAAAAAAAAAAAAAAAAAAAATGATTATGGATTACAAAAAAATCAATCAAGTATTACAAAAAAATCTATCATGGATTACGAAAAAAAAAAAAAAATCGTACGGGACTCGCCGATTGACTGTACGAACTTGCCGATTCCGTACAGTGAATCGGCGAGTCACTGTGCAGAATCGTCCGGTTCTCTCTAGAACCGGACAATTCCCGTTTTTTT